TGTAAAACGGAAAATTTCCTCGAGGTATTAGATTATCTAGAGAACGTTCTTGAAGAGGTATCATCTCAGAACAGTAACTGTGTTATAATTGGAGACATGAACGCTCACTTTGGCGATAGTGTAGGTACACGTGGTACAGGTGCAATCTCAAATAACGGTAAACTCCTGAATCAAATGTGTAAACGAACTGGTTTGACTCCTATAGATATGTTCCCAATTTGTACGGGACCAACATATACGTTCTTTAGGGATTATACTGGTGAGTCGTACATTGACCATATTCTTGTCACCGGCGGTCTTGTTTCAAAATGCTTAAATGTAAAAGTGTTTGATGAAGATTTAACAAATATGTCAGATAATTTGCCAATTAAAGTAACTCTAAATATTGAAACTCAACCAGCAGCGAGAAAAAACGAGTCTCGTTCTTATAAGTCACGCCCCGCATGGAATAAAGCTACAGATGAGCACTTGAAACAATATAAGCAACTGATGAATGTGAAAATTTCTAGCCTGATACGAGATATGAATAAAAGTGGCAGTATGTCAAACATGGACATTGAACTATTTTTTAATGAATTGTCCGATATAATTAATGATGTAACCTCCCAGTCCTTACCAAAATCAAGGTTCAACAAACATTTAAAACCATATTGGACGGAGACTGTAAAAGAATGCTTGAAACAAAAGAAAATGACGTGGAATAGATGGAAGTTCTATGGAAAATCTAGAGAGCCAGAAAATGCATATTGGAAGGCTTACAAGGACGCAAAAAGAATGTTTAGAAAGGCAATCCGTAGGGCTCAATATGATTTTGAAATTAAGTGTCAAAAGGAAATTGATGACGCTGCAGATTTATCCTTAAACAAGTTTTGGTACTTGATCAAACAACGCAAGGGTAATTTGTGTAAATCCATCGCAATACGAAATGATGAAGGACTAGTGCTCACTGAGCCCGATGAAGTACTAATGGAATGGAAGTCCTATTTTGAGAAGCTAGTGTCCCTCAAGAAAGATACACCATATGACAGCGAATTTGAAAAGATGATTAATAATGAAGTAGATGAAATGAAACGAGACAGTTTTAACAATGACGACGGAGCTTTCACAGAGGCATTAACGTGCAATGAAGTACATCTAATCACATCCAAGTTAAAAAATGGGAAAGCTCCCGGGTGGGATCAAATTACACCGGAGCACATTAAGAATGGGGGAGATTTATTAATCCAAGCTCTAACACTTCTGTACAATGAGATGGTACGCACTGAATATGTCCCAGAAAGTTTTAAGCTAGGACTGCTCATACCTCTCTTCAAGGGTGGTAACAAGGACATCTTATCAAAAGATGACCATCGTGGCATTACATTGATGACCACGTACATGAAAATGTTCGAGAGAATTATGATGTCAAGAAGCCAATTATGTGCACAAACAGAAGAGGTTTCAAACATGCAAGGTGTTAACAAGGCCAAATGTTCTAGTCTTCACACATCTCTTGTTACAAGAGAAGCAATAGCAACAGGTTTAGAAAACGGTAATAATGTCATTGTGACGTCATTAGACATTAAAAAAGCTTTTGATGGCGTTTGGCATATTGGGTTGTATCATAAAATGTATAAACAGGGAATAAACGGCAAACTATGGAGAATGCTAAGAAATTGTTATGATGGATATAAATGTGCTATTAAATTGAATGTGAACATAGACTCAATGTTTAAAGCAGTTAAAGAGGATTTAAATATTCCCCAAGCAATATCTCGGTTTCTAAGTGAAAATGCAAATATTTCAGATCTGTTTCCTGTGGAGCAGGGTGTGCACCAAGGTGGTGTTTGGTCAATGGAATTATACGCAAGGTACACCAATGAACTACTAAATGAGATATGTGATAGTATGACTGGATGTTCTATAGGAAATGTTGTATGTAGCTGCCCCACGTTTGCTGATGACATGAACTTATTAGCATATCATGGTAATACAATGCAGGTTCTACTGCGTAAAGTTTTTGATTATAGCTGCAGATGGAGATTTCAGTTTCACCCAAAGAAATGTAAGGCCGTTGTGTTTAGTAGAGAGAGAAACCCCCCAAAACCAATTCTGAAATTAGGGAATCACATTATTCCCATCGAGAATTCAATAGATCATGTTGGGCTGCCACTTACAAATAGCAATTCAGTAAAAGAATACATGGACACACGTATCTCGAAAGGAAGACGAGCAATGATTGCCTATTTAGGAACTACAGCCAGCAATAACAATCCAACAAATCCTCTAACAGCGTCAAAGATTTACTGGTCAATATGTTTCCCCACTATGACGTATGGAATGAGTCTTTTGCCTCTTAAAGATACGGACTATGACAGGCTAGAGACAGCACACAGGGGAATAGCAAAGAAGATACAAGGGCTTCCTATCACGACCAGCAACCAGGCAACCATACAACAACTTGGTTGGAGAGACGTAACGTCAAAGATCGTAGTAGACAAAATCATGTTAGTGTGGCAATTGTTATCTCTACCAATGAACAATGTATATAAGATGATCGCGATAATGAGAATCATAGCGTACAGAACACGTGATCTAGCTTTAGTGTCCCCTATTGGTGATTGCATGAGAGTAGCTGAACGTCTAGGCATTCAGCACAAAATATATGATATGATAGATACAGGAATGGTACCAAGTAAATGCGAATGGAAGAAGATGGTGTCAGATAATACAAGAGAATATGCAATGTGGCAGTGGAAAATACAGTGTATGTTCAATCACAACGCTTCCCTATATAGGAATGTAATACGCTTTGGCACACCAATAGTGTGGTGGAAAATTGCATTTCGCGAATGCCAATATATTCGCATATGTAAGACAATGATGATCCTACTAACTGGAGGGAGTAATCTATGTGCTATCACAGGCAAATGGGGCGACATGAAAGACAGGCATAACGGGCGACTATGTAAAGCTTGTGGTGAAGAGGATGAGACCTTGGAACATTTCATGTTAAAATGTAAATATTTCTCAGCCGAACGAAAAATCATTCTAGATATAGTTAAAAATCACTCGCTGATATTGAATCAAAGTAATGAGCAAATTCTAAGACTAATATTTGGTGAAAATGAACAATTGGCACCTGATCAGTACATATTAATTGCGAAGAATGTTCATAAAATGTATACATGTGAAAGCAGAATGTAATTTGCGTATCTCAAATAGTCAAAATAACTCCAGAGCATTGGGCCTGTTGCGGTTACGGGTCAACGCGGTAGCCTGGCGTCCGGCCGTTTAATAGGGGGTGCTCTGGATGTGATGTGATTACTGATTATGTTCCTTATATGTATATAATGTATATAACTTTTTGCTAATTTATTTTATTTTATAAGAAATTGTACTCTTCAGAATTGGAGGAAATAAAGATACAAACAAACAAACAAACAAAGCTGTGACGGAGCAGCTTTAACTGTGAACTACGTGAAGAATTTAAGATGCAAATTATATCTTTTAAAAGTACCCTTAGAAGAGAGAACGTCACAAATCACTTTCCTAAATTATGACAAGTAGTCTCTTGGAGATCTGGGGTAATGTAAATCTAAGATATAAAAACGACAACGGAGGTTTGTACTGAAACCAACATGAATCAACATGGTGTAAACTAAACATAATATTTCACAGACACAGACATCCTGCATTCCGACAGATGTATAACCTTTTACCACATAATATTACTGTACATAAGATGATCCCAATACAGATTTAATTTGTATTTATTTGAAATTCATGAAATTCATTGTTTTGCATAGACTAAAATGATAAAAAAGTCTTGGTAAACGTGCTGCACTGTAAAACCTGTTTTAATGAATATCTTTCTCTAGTGAACACCTTTTCTTATCAAATATTCCCCTGACTTCTGTATGAAATTGCCTGAAGGAAGTGAACATCTACCAACTGGGAACACATTTTTGGACTCCATATGTGTTCACTGTACACATGTTTTACTGTAGTTGCATCAGATAGCCATAACTCTTATTCAAATAAAGAACGATCTTAAAATCAAATTTTGCATTTTCGTATTTCAAGATACACTCAACTTACCTATATTGGAACGACTAAAGAGGGTAGAACAATCCACATTCCATACCATCATATGTATTTAGCCTCATCTTCAGCAAATCATTTTACTTCAAATAATCAAGTTACCGTAAAAAATGACCATGTCAGGCCGATGGATCCACAGAAGGCACTACGAAAGGGAAATACCCTATACTTAAATGAAGTTGACTATCATTTTCATGAGTTACCATGCATAAGTTGGATTGCAGTACAAACTGAGAAAAGATGCTTAAAGAGTGGTCGTATATACATCTCAGAATTTGAATTGTGTACTTTTATTACGTTTCATTTTTCAGAATACTTTACGAGATTTGACACGCTCGCTCCTCTAACGTGTAGTTGAAAAGAGATATATTATAAATCTAAATTCTTAACGTATTTCAGATTTGAAACTGCTCCGTCACAGCGGACAAAAAATCTAATTATTATTTTTTATCAAAAAAATTAAAAATACCCAATACATCAAGATATCATTAATACCTTCAGAGTTATGCTGAAAACATATGTAAATATTATCGTGTCGCTACATTGTACCATTAAAAAGAAATAAAAGAAATGGTACATTTTGGAGTATGATACTCCGACGCCGTTTTCAATAGCTTTTACTCTTAGCGTTGTTGGACTTCAAACAGAAGTTAAAGTTACCCGCAAATGATATATTCATTGCATGGAGTCAGTAATTTTCTTTGATATAGTAAAACATATGAGTAAAAAATAAATTGTGTGGATTTCCTAGTGTTTCTATGCAATATAACACGCTCCGTCACAGCGGACAAATTTTTCGATACCTGCCTGTGATAATTCATACTTAAGATTATACAATGTGAAGTAGCATATTCAGAATGTTTGCTTTCATGTTGATGTTTTGTTATTTCGTCAATTAAGAAAAAAATAAAAAATACCTCCATATCCATTGACGCATGCAAACATCATCCAAGCGACCCCTATTGACCAAACAGGCCTCTTTAAGGTATTGTATAGTATCTCAACGTCACCCGACCACCTTATCCCGTTCTCGCGAGATTTGCTGTATTCGCCATAAAGAACAGACATGCAACATATCACTGCTAAGCACCACCCGGCAGCTACAACTACCTTGAAATAAAAACATATCGTAGTTCATGATCATGAAATACGTGATATGACGTGACGTGTTACGTAACGCAATGTAACAGAACATACTAGGAAAGTTAAAACCGGTTAATTGTACTGACGGTCATTTTCAATGACATTAACCCTTATTAACGTTAACATAAGTGACCTAAAGGAATTACCTTTTTAATTTTCGCCTTAGAATGCGTGTGGAAGAGGATGAAACCCGTCAACATACCCACGAGATAGGCCCCAATACGACAGTAGGGCTTCATGTACAAATCAAAAAGCCAATCAAAATTATCTGGGTTTTCGCCACTGTAAGATGTAAATATTATAAGGTAATAAGGAGTTTAAGCTGGCAATGTTTTTCACAACCTAAACGTGAACGGAAAATATTTAAGCGATGCATTTGTATTGGCGATTTGTCATTCGTATAGGTTGGCGTTTCGATTTTGTATGCAAGCTTATAAACTCCCTATTAACGGTCATATGTACGTCAAGGAACAAATCGTCGCAAAATGCATTCGAAGTTTAAGAGATTCGATAGAATATAAAATATGATAATGATACGTCTATCCTCTACAAACTCTTCAAGTCTGCTTACTAAAAATCAAAAACAAATATCCAAAACACTCCACCGTAAATCGAACCGTATCCCAGGATTACCTGTGAAAAATTCTGTATTTTATATATGTTCAACTTACTCTGCGAAGGAATCAAATTGTATTCGATTTATTAAATTGAATGATTGATCAACTAATTTAAATTAATACGCTAGCATGATGGTTGTAACTCTTACGTTTGTCCTATCATCCAGTTCTTATGTTCTAATATCCCTGTAGTAATAAATTGGGCAACAAATAGTACCAGCCAAATTATCAGCCCAATTAGTGGATACCTGTGTAAAAGAATCAAATCATATAATTAATAAGGCCAAGAAAAACAGTGCGTTTATAGTCCCCGTGCGGGTGGGATACTTGGATAAAATTAGACCAAGACGAACCAGTGGATTCTCTGCTATCAAACATATAGTATTGCATGGAAATTGAAAAAATTTTCTTATTCATACGCATAACCCATTTAAAAACATACACTGTCTCTTTTTAATGTCAATCAATTCTATTGTAGGTGATCATCAATGAAAAGTATCAAATAGATAACAACTCATTTTCGAGAGAGTTCAAATACTTTTTTCGCCTGGTGACAAGAAACAAAATGTTTCAAGGCATTATTACTTGATTACCACGTTTGAAAATCTGAGCTTAAACTACTCGACCGCATGGACACAATTTGTTGAAACTTACATGTATAATGGAATAATGATTAAGGGAGATATGATGAAGAACTGCATGTCATTGGCGAGATACCACGAATGCCCAATACACTGGAAGGAAATATAGTGAATTAATCTGTAAAGTAAAAACTTATTGAGATAAATAATTAAGATAATGTCTCTGAAAGAAGAGTAAATAATAAACTCTAACTCATAGTAAACTCTCTTTTCTAGACGAATGGTTAATTTTGGAATGGATTCTGGTTAGGCCTAGGTATAACTGAACAACGATGCTTTTTGGTTAGCATCTTTTGTCTACAATTAAAACAAAATTCATGTCTTACCATCCTTCGAGTATTTACAATATTATTGATATATAGTAGATTTGTCCACCAATTGTCCCGGCAATTATGAGGCCGTATGCTCTCAGAAACCGGTGAATCGAACTGGCGGTTCCAAAAAGGACCGCTACCCATATAAGGAAACACCGTTGCAAATATCATCACACACATCATATAGAGGGGAGTTAGCCTACAAAATGGTATGTCGTGACTGGTGAATATCATTTGATATTCCCGTGACTTTCATTGAATATCGCTTGTTATTTTTAGTCAATAGATTAGATGCGAGTAGAAATAATCTTGATTTACGTCATTAAATATTCAAAATTCAGTCAAAGCGATGACATATTTGAAATCTGCATGTAAAAGTACATCAAGAAATATGGTTTCGAAAATTGTCTATCAACTTTGAAAATTAAATTTTTTTTGAAAATGTGACTTCTTGTTCGGGTTGATTCCCCATAGACCCCATGTTACAAAATCACAAAAAGTGAATTATCTTTTCTTGTATTGGACAGATAGGATTTTCTTTTACTGGACATGTTTTAATTTGCATAACTATTAGATACATAAGGGTTATATGAAAATTGAACCACGCAAATAGATGTAATTTAAGTTAAAGGGAACTTTCTACTATACCCGCCATGCTATCTGACCCGAACGAGCCACCTGGTGGTGAATCTGGTAACTACCTACTCGCATCTGCATTATTGTATAGGACATAGACCAATCAGAGAGTGGGGAATATGTCAGTGATATAATAACATTCAATACTTTCTCAATATTCAATATTCGCCGAAGTGAACTGACCTCCAGAATCTGTGAAAGTAGAATAGGCCCATCATTCCTGCTGACAATTTTCCACGTAGTTTATCCAACTGCTTCAAAAACAAATACGTCACCAGTATACCACTGAAACAAACATATCGGTGTTGGCAAACTTAAATCGGAAAATGCGATACCTTCTTAGTAATTGTACCTCAATCGTATCTGGCTGGACTCAACTCAGATGAATAAGCCTGAGTAAAACGCAATTTACCCCCAACACAAATCCGTGTTCAGTGCACATAAACTTTACCAACACTCGATACAAGAATCGTCGAACTATATTCAGGGTCGGATCTGAGAACCAACAAGAGCGGGGGGGGCAAATTTCAGATTTAATTTAAAAAATGGGCCCCTAAAACCAAGTTTTGAAAAAACGCAAATACTCTACCTCATGACAAAAAACGTGTCGACTGAGAAGACAGCATTTACAATAGCTTGAAACCAGAAACCCTTGGTCCACTTGTACGCCTGTGCTATATTTTCTGAAACATGAAAGGACAATGTTTGTCATCATGGTTGTTTCACTCAAATATGTAATATAAGTTTTTGAATTATTTGAAGTACAATACAGGATATATTCTGCTCGAGAAATTCCGTATTGGTACGAGACGAAGTCGAGTGCAAATACAGAATATCGAGAGCAGAATATATCTAGTATTGCACTTCAAATCATTCTATAACGTTTTTATCTTGTGATCCTCTGTATTGCTACTGAGAATGTCCCCTCAGTACCAGCAATATCTTCTGTAATGCGACGGAGATACAATACAGATTGGTACAGCACAAGAACTGACCAATCAGATGGCTTCATTTTACAGATCATACGATAAATTTGTTTATTTCACCTTGAGTTCTCTTTCGATAAAACCAATGCGAGTGAACAGCATGCCATAACTGTGATGTCAGTAATTTAGGATGAAAAATATGCTTTGAAGTTTGATCCCTATAGATGCAACCAGAAAACGGAATATACTCACGCGTTGTTGGTCCCGCCGGAAGAATGAATCCCATAATGTAGGTATGTCCCAGAATTACCCAACTCATACTAAGGAACCTTACTCCATTCAGACAGGTCAGCGTTCCCTTTCCTTGCGACGTATTAAGGACTTTGGGTAAATTGGTGTATACAGAGAACGATGTGACGATCTTCATAAATATATCTGGAAATTCAAACATATACTTCAAATGGGATTATTTTTGGTAGCAAATTTTATGACTGCATCTTTTAGTAATAACACATCTAACTATGTTCAGTAGTTCTTTATATCAGTTATGTCCTGAGCTTCAAATATTACATTTTGGTTCCTACTTTTATATTCACTCTAACCTTTTCCTTTGGAATTTGCAACCGATTGTTGGGATTCATTCTGTAGTGATCCAAAGCTGTTTCCATTTTTCATCAGCTCTGCAGAGCTACCACTTTTCCCGAAGTCGCCATTACTTTCCGTCAATGTAAACACGGGGTTATCTACTCCTGGCTGCATGTGTGCTAACTGACGCTTACGTTTGAAGTATGCTCCAAAATTGTGCACAATGATATCAATAAGAGTGCAACTGATGAGGATGAAACCGAAGAAACAGAGAATAACGCTGAAAACAAAAGGGTTAAATCAAGCTAGCGTCGTAATTCCATAATTCTATTTGTCAATGTAGTTCAGACAACGACTGATACTTGCTTATCGCTGAATTCTAACGTTTAAAAACTGAGAAAATGATAACATCAATGAAAAACTAACAACCAAAAGAGTGAATGATACAGAGTTTGATACATGGTAAAATGCAGACTGGTGTAAAACTAAAAAGACTGCTCCTTACAATCCAGCTACGGCACTTGGGTCTTCCCACATAGAATGCTGCTCATCACAATGTGACTCCTTTACTTTGAAACCCAACACTTCCAAGTAATCTGCAACAAAGCCAATTGAAGGAGCGATGGTGATATATACATATGTAGTAATTTTTATACATGTTGAAGCGGGGTGCATTAAAAACTAAAAATAATTACCTTGAAACTGATCGCAGACTCATAATGTCCAAGTACAGAAGTACAACCAAGCGATATTTAAGGCATACATTATTTTCAAGCTTGCTTTTTGGTGATTGTATTGGACTTACATTTCCCTTCATAAGTTTGGGAAAATTTGAAGTATTTTTCAAATCGGCAAATTCAGGCTTTAATGAGTGATCCGAAATGGGTCTTCTGATTACCAAACTTAGGACCGAGACTGTATATTTTACCTGTTTCAAGGATTTTAAGGTCCACATCGGAACAGGAACTTGGTACGCACAAACCCCAATAAATACTTACAGGCTGAAAAAAGTAACTGAAGTACATATTAATCCGAAAAGATCAAACACCTTCAGTCTTAACAAAATCTGGATTTTAACAATGAATATTAAACAATGTAGGATTCCCGGATTCCAACGATCTTCCGTTACCTAGCCTGGAACATTTCAGTAATGATATTTCTGTAAAGGTCACCTTTTGGCGCAAGTATCTAGTCTGTATACTAGTATAGTATAGTGTGTACTAGTATTATGGTAATTTTTAAACTTCTTTGGCTGTACTAGTCTTCAAAATATGAGTAATATTGTTACCAAATTGTTCCATGCCGAGCAACGTTCATGCTAATATAAATCAACGAGTGCACATCATTACATTCAAAAGTGATACACCCTGAGAGGGAAGGACTGAGAACGAAACGCGATACGACAAGATGTTTTAGATATCATATTTGGAGGTACATATGGAATGTAATAAAATGATAATGACATACCGCATCTTGTATGCTGACTAGAGCCGTGCAGAACTTCCCATTAAACAAGGCAGATTTGGGCCCAACAGACTGGATTGCTAAGCATTGGTCGTAGTTACCAAACCAGTTGATGTTCCCCTGAAGTATACCACCACCGGGCTTTCCAGATGCATCAAACACTATAAGCAAATCGAGGCAATATTTCTAATTTATCTTGTCCCTTTTTGTTCATCTTTTTGTTTGGAACTGGATGCATAGCTTGCTGGAAATGTTGCAACACAAACTTGTCCCTCTCTTACACTCTCTCGCGGGTATCTTCGTGTGTATCATGAGAAATCATGGCCTTCTATTAGCTTCACACTTGTATGATATTTCTGGTTGACGACAGAATGATATGATGAGTATCAGAATGCTTCTTGTGTGTTTACCCAAAAACATCCATTCCGTTTACACCTACGGCAAAATAAAATCGATTTCTTCTCGTAGCGCTTACTTACTTTCAAATGCCCATTGCTTTCCCTCTGCTAATCCAGACCAGAACTCTAGAGTATCATTCTTGCATGTTGTTGTGATGTTTTCCATGGATGTAATAACATATTCTAATCTCAAGAACAATTCAAGCGCTGCATCTATAGTTGAATTAAGAAGTTTTTCCAAGTCTTCTTTTCCATCGTCTGCATCCTGTAGCTCAGCCTTTTCACTTTGGGGCATATCGTGGAGATTCGCGGTTGGTGTTCCACCAAGGACTTTTGCGATGTCATCTTCGGGTAGTACATTCCGGAGTATATTTATCAATGGATTTGTTCGCAGAACATGATTATTACTTTTAAGAGCCTGTGTCTGTTTCAACAGATAACTGTACTTCGACATTGATATAATATTCGTCAGTAATTGTTGTTGTCTTCGAAATTGTTGTTGCTGCTGTTTATGTTGTTGCTGTCCGGCGGACGCCTGTTGGGGAATGTCAACGTCACCATCATTGTTAAGATCAGCCTCCATCCCAGGGAACACATTATTACTACCTCCATCTTGTCTTCTACTGGTTCCATGACCTATAACCAAATTGCCATGCTGGTCATATAAATTCATCCTACAATGTGTATTTATGTATACAATATGTATATTTGAGGGCGTTCCTCCATCCCAGTGCAGGCAGCCTGTGGCTCGGATACGCTAAATAATTTTTGGAATAGAACACGTGCATGTAGGTAGTTTTATTTCCAACATATGTCTGACCATATTTTGATAAATATTTTTGCACTTTTTTGCAGAATATCAATGATGCACTTCTTATCTTATAGAAATCTTCTTAGTATTTCAATAACAACAACAACGCAGTTTTTTCTTTCAATATTCAAAATGTAGTCAGTCTGGTCTCGTCTTTGGATTAGCCCTCTTTAAGATTTAGTAATCGCAAAAATTGTTATACTTACTCTGATAGGTGAATGTCTCCGCTATTACAAATGTGTATACCAAAAGAATAAGAATCCTATAAATCAAATACATTTTCCAAATCTCTTTCCATCATAAAGAATCCTATCCTTTATTAAAGATGCATCCGGTCTATATTCATCTACAACAATGTTTATTGGTACATATATACTTTTAATGAGTCAACATATGCAAATGATTTAATATTATCTTTTCTTATAAAACATTTTATATTTATGTCAACAGCTTCGTATCTTAACTGAAGGGTGCTCAACTATCTCTTCTATAAGATAAGACGTCCTACTATTCGTTTGCTCCCATTTTTGAAGCCATACAAATACAATATGTGCCACCCAGACTAAAATGATTTTATAAATGTTTTTTACTAGACACTGTGTACTATGACTACTTTCTTAACACATTCTTTTAATTCAAAGGATATAGAAAGCGTATTTTTAAAGAACGGTTGATAATATCAATTGGTTTGCTAAATGAATGAAAAAGATGCGAAACAGAAAACATCCTTTCGTGACTAGCACTGATTAGAACTTTACCCCATTACTTCCTCAAATCCCCATAAATGGAATGTTTTCTTGTATTTATCATCAAATGAGAGAAAATGTAAGAGGTACGGCTGATAATAAGCACTGTATATTACTCGTGTTAGTCTATAGACAAAAAATTATAAATACTTAACCATATGATGATGTTATAATGTCATATCTACAACAACAAAAATGATGTCATGATTTTAAGTTTATTTTCACAACATGTGATTATGCATATAGTATGTACATGGTAAAGTGTTGTGAACATTTTTCATTTAAATTAAATATGTAAAATCTTCTATTGATGTATTTAGATATCAAAGATTTTCATTTAAAAGTTCCTGATATGATAAGACTTGCAGCAAGCGTCTACGACACCCACCAACCATTACATGTATCTAACCAAAACGAAATGTATTTGGAGAAATGCACGTTGATTGTGAAAATGGGCATGTGTTGTAAAACAACATAAACTTTACTTGAATAGCATATCTTTAAATGCATCGTTTCATTCAGAGAAATGCAGAATTTAGTCTTGCAACAATTTCCACAATTATAAATTCCCTAGTCATAATTTTCCTCGTCATAACTGTCATAAGCATTAGCTGCAGGAGCGTAACTGTCATCACTGTCAGTATAAGCGTATGTGGACTTTTTGTCATCTTCAGCATATGTGCGCTTGCTCTTAATCCGTAGTGCTGGGGGACTGTTATAGTTACATCTGTCCCCGGCACAGAAGCACCATAGGGCTCCTTGTTGGTAGTGGCAACCTAATTTGTCGGGGTTTACGCCATAAGCTCCTTGGTAGCAGCCCCTATATACCTCTGTAAAGATAAAAAGGATTTTCCTCGTGAGGAACTTACAAAGCGTAAATATGACAGACTGTCACAACCAGGCAAATGGTTGCAAAATTGAGACAGTTTGTTACAGATGTTGATTGTTGACCGCTAACCGCTGATCGCCGACATCGGTTACGAAAACGTTGGCTATAACAACATATCACCACTTCTTGTTGGTAACATAGAAACTCAAATTGTGCTCGTATTGTAGCTTCATGTTACAGATGACATAGATACACAAAATGTCTTTGATATTATATCATATAAACATGTGCTTTAAGATAAGATATATTACAGAAAAGTAATATTGTCATTATATCGCGTGACATGCTATGCTAAAGTCATAGTATACTTCACGTATACGTCTTCCTCATGCATATTCATTTACCACACTCCCTCCAAATCACTGGCAACATTTTATAAAAATAACTCTCCATTAGACTACTTATCAAAGACTATTTACCAAACATTTGAAGGGAAGTGCACATCAATCAAAATACTGCCTCATAAGAAGGACGTCTATCTCAGACGTCCTTGCTCATACGTTGTATGATCCACAGGAAAGAGAAATGATTGGTCACACTTACGTCCATTTTTGTTTCTCCTAATGTAGCAGTTGCTCTCGCACTTCCAGTCATCAATACCGTAATTCTGTGCCTGAGCGTATGAGAAAGGTCCGCGGCATTTATTCCAGCCTCCGTATATGTTCTTGTAGTAGGAACCAGCCTTGCTCTGCTTCATTTTGTCATCTCGCTCATCGTAGGAGCACTGGTAGCACTTCTTACCTGGTAGAATCAAAAGAGTAATGTGTTTAGCAATATTTCGTACCATCTTATTGTATGGAATGGTATCAGGTACATATATATGTATTGTGTAACGTGTATGAAAGTATACACTCCCCTCAAAAAGTTTGGCAACCTTAGCTCCCTCATTGAACTACGCGTTAAAGCCTCTTTATGTTTGAATTTCAGTTTACATAACCTGCGAGAAAATGACAATTGATGGAAATGTAACTTGACTTCATTTCCAATGCCTCTAAATTTTCTCAACTTTTTTCCTCAATTACAATAGGTTAAAAATTGATCATAAATTTTTGAAAATCGTCATTCCCATGTAAATCCATGGGAAATGGTGGGTTCGGAGCAAATTTGATTTCAGGATATCTATCCAGTAAAAGATTCACCAAAAAATTATTTTAAAAAAAATTAATTAAATTGATATACTTTTTTGTTAAGTGTTCAGGTTACTTTATGAATGCTAAAGATACAGAGCTTCAAACATTTTTGAAAATCATTTTCGCCTCCTGTGTTATTTCAATGGAAGGAGTTTTTTTTAAATAATTTTGACTTTGAAGACCTATAACTTTTTTAAACCTGAAAAAAACGTATCAATTTTTTATTAAATAAAGTTAGCAAATTCAATTGACTACCTAACTTATATTTTTTGCAAGACTCGGATGGATGAATATTCTGTCACATGACTTGCGGCAAACCTACCATTTCCCATTGGTTTGATTGGGAATGTCGATTTTCAAAAATTCATCAGATTTATCATCAATTTTCGACCTTGAGGATTGAGGAAAAAATTGGGAAAATTTGGAGGCATTGGAAATGAAGTTAAGTTACATTCCCATCAATATTTTAAGTGTTTTCCTCGCAGGTTCTGTAAATAAAAATTCAAACATAGAGAGTCTTTTACACGTAGTTCAATGAGGGGGTTAAGGTTGCAAAACCTTTGGGGGGTGTGTAGTTTATCTAGGGAGAGGGGTGGACATTTCTATATCGAATATTGGGTGTATAAAACTGGTCTGTATTACCTGTATACTCTTCTTCCTCGTCTTCGTATGTATCTTGGTACTGTTTTGTTGGAACATTATAGGAGTCAGCTTCATAGGTTGTGTCTTCATCTTCTGCATAATTTGTAGCACTGTAGGGGTCAGCATCAGCATTGTAATTGTTATTGGTATCATAGCTGTTGTCTTGTGTGTAGGTGTTGTCTGACGCATAGCTCTTGTCTGAAGCATAGCTGTTGTCTGGTGCATAGCTATCTTTTGGTGCATAGCTGTTCTCCGATGCATAGTTATCACCATAAGAGTTGTAATTTTGATTGTTGGCATATGTACCCTGGTTGTTATAGTTATTTTGTCTGTTTTTAAGCCATTGCATTATTGGATGACTGCCGTAACCATAGTAACGGAGGATATACGCCAATGGAGGGCGAGGTCTGTACTTTTTATTTTCGGCTTGATCTGAAGGAAAAAGTAATATGAAATGAGTTTATATCATGATACTGTTAAAGAAAATAGAGCCCTCTGTTTTAAATTATTTGGATATTCATTAAATTGCTAAATGGAATAAATTAAATATTTGAAAATAGTTTATACTTCATAAAATGTAATCTTCAGAATAGGAGGAACTAAGGACGTAATATAATAAAATACAATAGATGGCACTTACCAGCATTGATAAAAGAGATGCAGAGAAAAACAGCGAGAATCAAAACGTATTTCTCCATGTTTCGTCGATGATAAAATATTCGTACTGTGTATTCCTGTCCTGTAATTTAGTCACTGATATAATAGTCCTTGGAAATTAATTATACACTTTAATTGGAATAAAGAAGATAAAATAGGAGTCCATGTAACACTAATGAGTTTTCTCTAATTAACAGATGTTATATACATAAACACATGTTTGAATTGGGGTTACATTTTAAACATATGCCACACGACAGCATTCCCCTCGGCATAGTCTCTTGTTGTACTGCGCATTATAATGTAGGGAGCATTCTAAATTTTATGTTTTGGAGAATGACATTGCTGGTGTACATACAGGGTGGAGTTTCCATTTAAAAGAACACCTTTAACATTCCGAAAGATTATTTCATGGTAAGGTATGTGTAAAATGTGTCTATTTTCATCTCATCCATATTCATCAAAGATACCTCACGTGACCATTCTTGTTTGAAGTGTGTGGAAAATATTTTTTTAAATTCATCTCTTGAAAGCCCATGGTAGAAATAATCTTGATTTACATCATTAAAAATTCAAAATTCAGTCAAAAGTGATATCATATTTGAAATCTACATGTAAAATTAGAAACGTAGTTTTAAAATAGTATTTATGCACTAACTAAGTTATTCTATTATCAAATTTGAAAATTTAATTTTCTTTGAAAATGAGACGGTCGGAAGATTCGTCATAGGCCCCATGTCATGAAGGCACAAAAAGTGAAACATCTTTTCTTGTGCTGGGCAGATAATATTTTCTTTTACTGGACATATTTTAATATCTATAACTATCACATACATACAGGTAATATGAGAAGTGAACAACTAAAACTTATAAATATTCATGTTTATTTGAACTTGTAATATACCTGTCATGTTATCTGCCCCGAATTAGCCACCTGATGGTGAAACGGGTTACATCCTTTAAGATAGTTTGCTCCAAAATACAATATTCATATATCATGTTTTCAAATTTAGGAAGATAATGGTTTATTGTTAACATATACGTCATTCACATAACATTATGAGTCTCTCTTAATACAATCATGAGAGGTATTTCTGTGTAAAATGTTCCCACTTAGTAGATATCGCTGCCATAAAATGTCATACTTTTTCTTTCACTGTAAATGTCATACTTTTTCTTTCACTGTATGTAACATAATTATGCACTTCTTAAACTACAGGTAAATCCCATGTTATAATTTTTTGGTCCTTTTCTTCACTATTCAATGACTAGACACTGAGTTAAAAATTCACTAAACTTTTGTAAATTAAGCAAAGTTTTGCTTAAAGGTTCCTGAGAATTGATGTCAAATAGTTGGCGATCCACCGTCACATTGCACTTTTTAGCTCGTTTTACATTATAGTTTTTGAATATGTATTTCAAGATATTGGGCGTGTCATGGCAAACATGGGGTTGGTCTTCATGAGCAACCTCAACAGAGTCAGTTTTTGATTGCAATTGTTCCGCTTTTTCCACTAGAATCTCATCCATAATATCCAGTCCCTGGAAAAAGAAATGAAGCAAACATTATATAATGATAACAGTAATGATACACATGGCATTACACACGAGGAAATGTCACAATTTACAAATGGTTACAAAGGTGTAACAATTGTTACAGATGCTGATTATTGTCATTAATTGCCAACAGCAAACATCTGTCGTAAAAAACAGTGACTAAAGATTAAAAGTTTAAAAGATGGGAAGACACATGGGAAATTCATATTAATCTGAGACTAACATACTAACATAAGATAGGGTACAATATAATGTTAGTCACAGCATTAATGAACATCAGCATGTGTCTTTTAATTTGTAACTTGATTCCGGTACTCAGCAAATTTGAATTCAGTGTGTATCTACATAAACACCAAGTACATGTAAATTACATCATACACTCATTTTAGAGGAAAATTAATTTTGGAGAAAAATGTATACAAGTATTTTAGAGCAAATAATCCATTTTGTGGCACCTACCCTTTGAACTCCAGAGTTCAGGAAACTTTGTGCGAATTGTTCAATTAATGTTCCTAAAAATCCGAGACCATTGATCTTAATACTGCCAACCTGTTCCATTATAGTCCTGAAAAACAGAATAACAAACTGAAAATGCAGTGAAGCCTTGATACAATAACCTTTGGTTGTCGCATCGAGGGATATTTCCACATACCCCCTTACTTTATTTTTCAGGGCTAATTTTTGAGAAAATGGTACAAAAAGAATAAAGTTCCGGATATAACATTTGGGAAAACATCTTTTTGTCATCTGTCTTAGGGAGTGTCTCAAAAGTTCAATGTAGGATTATTAACTGTATTTGCACAGTTAATCTGTGACCCCCCCCTCATAACTGTGAAATGTTGATATGCATTGTTTCCAAAGTCACACTATGTCTAACATAACATATTATATAGTCATTTCCATAACTATTCAAATCTGTATTTCTGTACATCATCAGCAGTAGGTTTAATACTGTAATACTGGACAAGTTTATCCTGACTTGTGAATTCAATATCACTGTTGAAGACAAATGAATAGCCGCTCATTTTTTGTATAATTCTACTTTTGTTGTTTACATGTTTTTTATTTTTCGTACCATAAGTGCAATTTACAAAGAGAGCATGCACTAAGAAAATTCCCAGGAATGGTGTCGGAACGATAACTTTTAAGACCAATGACCCCCTCCCTCACTAACTGAGCAAATAAAGTTAATTTTCCGATATTATATTTTGAAATGCTCCCTTACAGTACTATATTGCTAAAAAAATAATTAAAAATAAATTTTTCAAAAAATCAAAGAATAGAAAAAAATCTATAAAATCACCATCTCTTCTATGTTAAACATATACCCAATTTTATAGAATGACTGCCATCTATATATAGATGTTCTTTGCTGCTTAGGGCTGAAAGGGTGTATTTCTGAGACCAAGTTCTGATTTGTAAAGATATAAACAAAATAAGTTACTCACCAATCTGGATTAGAATGATGTTCCCTGAATGTCGCCTGCTCTGACATTGAGGCATATTTTGCCCATGTGAGATTACAGCTCTTCAACCTAAGCTTGCGGCTCTTCAAATGCTGCCATGCCTCTTCTTGTAGAAGGATCTGTGGCTCATTTAGAATGGCCAGCTGAAAATATCAGAGAGGAAAATTGAATTGATAATATTATGATCATCTCAGCAGTCAGCATTCAGGCGAAATCATTAACCCTCACTCTATTTATCAGCTCAACTCAAATCATCATGATGTTGGTTATCTTATGACAAATACATTTTGCACAGTTTATCAATATGCCTGTTTGTGTTTATTCTTTCATTTTGAAGGCTCTATTCTATTCATGGTTTGCATTATTGATGAACGACATGAGAAGCTCAAATTCCAAAAGGTGTGTCTATCTATTGTAGGTGCAAAGTATGAATTTCTGATTCCTAACTTATAACTTTAATTTTACCTTTCTCATGAAAGATGGCACCACATTTGTACATATTGCAACTCTCTTCCTGTATTCTAGATCACCCTCTGAAAATTAAATTACAATGGAATTCATTGAGCTCACAGTGTGGACCCCCATAAAATGGACATTTAACTTGAGCATTGGTTCAAATAAATTTTGCTCAATTTTTGCTCAAATTTTGGTCACGCTATGAGCCAAAAGAAAAATGAATACAGTATGATGTTGAAGTTAGTACACTTTGTTTTTGTAAAGATGCTAAGTAAAAATGCAATGGTGAAATAAAAATGACTAAAATTCTAAACTGGTACATTTTACCAGGGGTTTCACAACACTTAATAGAGACAACCCATGTGAACATTTTGTTAAGCCCAAACCCACCACTGGCACAACTAGCTATAGCAGCTATGATAAAGGCGATGCAACTGCATAATGTACCTTGTCCAAACTTTACAGAAATAAGACTAGGGAAGAAAAAACTCTGTGGTATAACCAGGATTTTGATACCAGGGGCCAAGCAAAACTAGAATGTTGATTTTAGACCTTAAATTGTGCATTTTGAGTGATATCAGACTGTGTAATGTGGTATTACTCCATCATTTTGCCTGGTCACATGCCTGGGTCTTGCCTTATAAAGATATTGGTAAGCAGAAAGTAGAGGAGTTACTCAATTGTAATATATTTGGGTCAATCAGGAACTTGAATCAGTGTATACATCATAGGCTGAGGTTAAGTACTATAGTTAACCTAATAAGAATGTGAATTCTTATTAGGTTTACTATAGTACTTAACCTCAGCCTATGGTATACATCCATGTCAGTCTGACCTTGCACTGTGACAGGTCCTGGGCAGGTCACCTTGAACTAAGTAGTGATAAGCTATAAATGATTTATGTAAGGGGCAATTCTATATTACACTGGATCAATGTTACATCTCGGGTCAGTCTGACCTGAGCATTATGACTGAGGGTCAATCTGACCTAAACTGGATTTGTATATGGGCTTTGAAGAGCCCGTGATCAGCGTTATCTATCAGGTCAGTCTGACCTTGCAATGCATAATGCCTGAGAGTCAATTTGACCTTCAATTGAATCAGTACAAATTCTAGTTTGAAAACAGATTGTGAACACCAATAGTACTGTATTATATATGTAACGAGGTCAAAGGTCAATATAACCTTCTTGGGCTTACCTTTGAATTGTTCCAGTGTATCGATACGCTCCACAAATGGTTCCCTCTTTGTTGGATACTGAAAAAGTATGAGAGTGAAAATTTTGTTTTGTTTCGTAAGCAAGAAATCGATGGAACGATTAGATTACTTCGAGCACATCGTTTATGTATGCCTTTTATGCCCACCTTGTTAAAATGTGTCTGTGCTACAAGCTCTATGGGGTGCTTGAACACATGATGAACATCCACAAAAAGCACCATATTTTAGAAGCACCTCTAGTCCGCTAAATTCGTATTAATCGCGTGCAAGTCAATGTGCGGTTTCATAACAAAGTAGGTCAATTTTAATGTTTCGCGCCTCCTTTGAGTGATTATTGAAGAGCCGCCAAGTACAGTACTTGAGATCGTGCATCTAAGCCCAAAGCGTATTCAGCTAAAAACAGAAGAACATAAGACAGAAGAACATAAGATAGGCAGTTTAAACCTTGTTTTTTTTTATTACTTATAAGATATATATTGCATAGTTGTTCTACGTATCATTTGTCTTGAGACCTTGAACACCATTGTTTAAACCGTCCTAACGTTAAAATTACCATGATTTCTTCTTAAAGGCCTACTATGCATATTTTCAACATTCATTGTCAAAATAAAGAATTACTTTTGAACTTCATAGTATTTCAAAATGATTGATAACTACTTTACCTTTCATCGGACACCAAGAACAGCGCCACATCAAAGCTTACGGCAATAAATTATCAAAAAATAGTTTCGATCTGTAAGTTTTATAATTCTAGTTTTTACCAATGTCAATGAAAGATGGTAAAGTTATTTGTATAACATGATTTATTTATTTTTATAGAAGTGTTGCCATCTTTTCATCAAGAATTATTCTAAAACATGTACTTTGTCAAAAGTGTGCATGCATGTCCTACCATGGCCCATGGTCCTACTTAGGATGCCCTTCAGGTTGGGATCACTGAACTTCAAATGCTGTTTTCTATGTGAGTTTTTTTCTCGCTTGAATATTAACTGAGACTAACAGATATTAATGCAAATCATATCATATCTGATAGAGTGTGTGAGTAACATGTTTCAATGATTATTTTATCCCCGTTTTCTTCTCAAGTATGCATACGAAAGATACAATTACCATTGCGTTGCTTTCTTCGTCACGCCTATCAATAAAAGTGATAAGAACTCATTTATCTAATGGAATCTCTTAGATTTAAATAAACACACAATGCAACTATTAGGAATCAATAAATAATCTAAGTAGGGGAAACTCGCCTAATGTATACACGAGCCACCAAAAGAAAATTTTACACACCCGATCAAACACATTTTGAATAAAAAGATTTATTCTATAGTTAGTTACTGCGATTCTCATAGAATGTCGTGACAAAATTTGATGTGGAGGAATAATCATACTTATGGCAATTTTCAAAACATCGTAAGCTTATCTGATGATTAACGGAATTTACTACTGACATGGCTAATAAGTCGTTGGGAAAGTTTTAAGTTCTTCTTCTGTGATCCATATCTACAAGGGCTATGCATATATCACGGCGTCCCAACTACGTGAATTTTAGACCTACCAGGTGTTTGAAAATCAAGGATTGTGAGTCTCTTTCTGCATCATTTTTCTTCAAACTTGTTCCATTAAAAGCAAAACAAAAATGCCTTTCTGTTGGTACATTATACTGTTATACAGAGTCCCTCCTTTAAGTGGCGCTTGGGTCCCCAGCGGTGAAAAGCGCTTCTCACAGCTGGGGACCCAAACGCCGCTAAAACGAGGGACTCTGAACAATAAAGCAATGCACCGGTCGTAGTTGGTACCCCGTGATATATGGTTCTTGGTATGTTAGATATTCTTTAGAACAGTTACAGTCATATTTGCCCTTCCAGCCCCTCCTGAATATACCCATGGGCATCTATTGAAAGCCCATGATACACCAGTAGTGGGTATTTCATCCCTTGACAAAGTAAGTAATATATGTTGAGCTTTCTTTTTGCTAAGGAGTGTATGATCTTACTTTTATAGACATGTTCGATTATAGTCGAGACAAAGAGTCTCATTAATAAAATATATTTTCTAAATGGCTTCTTGGTAATGAACGCTAATAAACAGTATAATACAGCACTATGATGGCTTGATAATTGTTAGTAATCAATGATAAACTGCAAAGACTTGAATTGAAAAAGCTAGAAACCTATCATTTGTGGAACAAAGAACGTCTTCACGACCTGCGAGATGTCTATTTCCCGGTCTATGTACTGGACGAAAAGTTGACTGTATAAGAAACAGACAATATAAGTTTACGTTGAGTAAATTTGCGACAAGCGCGTTCCTGGTTGTGCGTTCAACCTAGATGGACGTAGAGATGATAAACGTAACCAACGTGACTGATACTGACACCGACGGTGAAGATGTGGCTGTTCCAAAAGTCTTACAATATACGATCACGGCTGTTCTGGTTTTACTGATCTTTACTGGAGGTGAGTAATTTAAGATTTAAGAAAATATTCCAAAAGATAAGAGATCCTGCATCGAATTTTATTGTGTTTATGGTAGCATGTAATGAGTGAATTGTTTTACATCTCATGGATGTACTCTCTTGCGTTTAAATCATTTTCAAATACTGGAAATCGGGAAAAATGATGACAAATGACATTACATAAAGGTCTGGCTAAAATTCAAATAAAAAGTTATTTCAAAGCAAAGACAATAGACTACATGCGAATAGAAATAATCTTGATTTACGTCATTAAATATTCAAAATTCAGTCAAAGTGATGTCATATTAGAAATCTACATGCAGGGGCGGATCTGGGAACCAACAAGGGGGGGGGCCCAAACTTGTGGTCTGAGAAAAAAACGCCAAAAAAAAAAACCCAAAACTGGGCCCAAATTTTGAAATTTTGAGGCCCATTTTCTTCAAAATTTGGCCTAAAATTAAAAAACAAGGCCTTAGAAGGCCAATTTAAGACCTAAAAGGCCTACTTTTTGGGGCCTTAAAGCCTTTTTTGGCTCAAAATTTTTTTGGGCACAATTTTTTTTTTCTGGGCCCACCCAAGGGGGGGGGGGGCCCGGGCCCCTGGGCCCCCCCCCCCAGATCCGCCAGTGACATGTGAAAGTACATCTAGAAAAATGGTTTTGAAAATTGTTTATCAACTTTGAAATTTTCTAGTTCGGGTTGATTCCTCATGTTACAAATCACAAAAAGTGAAATATCTTTTCTTGTATGGGACAGATAACATTTTCTTTTACTGGACATATTTTAATTTGCATAACTATTAGATACATAAGTGTTATATAAAAATTGAACCACTAAAACAGTCTTACCAAACTTTAAAGAACACTTTTTGTAAAATATTTTGGTCCAATGGTACTAGGCTAACATAGTCTACCTCCTTTAGCCAAAATCTGCCTCGCCTATTGAAATTGCCTAACCTAATTTAAGATGCGGGCTACGCCAATGTTATGTACAATATTCAAGATAATCCAATTGCCAATATTTAGGTAACATACAGGAAGCCTATCTAATCCGAACGCCTCTAAATTCAAATTAGTAGGTGTTCACATTTCAAGTTTAAAACATGTAAGTCAATGAGAGAAAATAAATTAAAGGCAGAATCAGATCTATAGGGGTTGACAAAATTACAAGCAATGTGCATAATTGACCTACCAATCTATTCCTTACAATATCAAATACAATATCTCCCAAAAGATTCACAATATGTTATAAATTGGTGAAGTTATTAATGATACAAAGTGAAAAAATGGGTGAAAAATGTTTAAATTCTCCCAAATAATAAGAATGGTAACCATTCTTATAGAAAAATAATACATTATTTTAAAAATCTTTAGTTTTCCTGGAATAAAGTATGCACTTTTGTGATTTTTAGAAAATACACATGACAAGGAATGACATGAGCCCAAAAAATTCTAAAATTGAAACAATTTTTTGTTTAGCCTGCTCGCTATCTCTGATTCTCTCTTTAAGGATCGAGACATTGAGGGTTGTTCAGATTAGAGAGGTGTTCGGATATCGATATACAGGTTTCACTGTACTGTGCGATTTCCTAATATTGAATATGTATGCATTTCGACTTAGAGTTACGTTATGTATTTTCAGGTATCGGGAATCTTCTGACGTTTTTAGTTGTGATTCTCAATAAAAACTTCCGCAAGCATATGATCTATATACTCATCGCTAACCAAAGTTTCGGCGATATGATTCTCTTATTTCTGCTTGGCCCCATCAAAATATATAGTCTCGTCACCCTCCAGTCTCCGGGGATTCTACTCTGTGGAATGGAAGAATTCGGTTCTACTTGGATGATTAATGCAACGGCATTGTGTATTCTATTCACAGGGGTGTATCGATACATCCAAATTGTACATCCTCGGCACTACTGGCGTGTTGATAACAATAAAATGTACGTTTGGATGGCGCCCTTGTTGGTTCTTGTTCCAGGAATGTCTGTTGGGCAAAATCCAAGGATATACTATGATAAGTTCACTATTCGATGTGTCATGTTGAACGAGGACTTGTGGAACATTATATCAAATATACAACTCGTATTGTTCTATATCCCAGAGGTTTTCATAACACCTCTTTTCTACCTGTCCATAATCGTAAAAGTGAAAAAAGCTCAGAAAAGGGTCGGCATGGAAACGATTGACGTACGAGTGCCAAAAAAGGATAACATTCTTACGAAAACAACCTTCGCAGTATTTGGTATTTTCTTTGTTTTTTACACCATTCCTGGTATCATAGCAATGCTCACACAAAATCTGGACATCCGGGTTAATATGATGGTGCGAGTCATCTACTTTGTTATTGTCCGAATGCCGCCATTTCTTAACGTTCTTATCTATATTGCACTAAACAGGAAAATGAGAGATGGATATAGGAGGTTTATATGTCCAGAGAAAAATACTTCGTAATATACACAATAGGGAGTTTAAGCTTGCATTTGAAATCGAAACGCCAACCTATACGTATGACCAATCGCCCATACAAATGAATCACTTAAACATTTTCCGTTCACGTTTAGGTTGTGAAAACATTGCAAGCTTAAACTCCCTAACATATGAATAAGGATGTGAAACATATGAATCGAACACATTTAGAAGGGCATGGAAAATATAAATGCGGATGTGGAACTTGAAATTATGAAACTCATAAATAAAGACAATGAAAATATACCAGATAAGTGCAGTGAATTTTATGTTTTCTTCCTAATGGCAAAATGGATTTTAAATAGCTCCTTACAACTGGGAAAATAAAATCGCATATATTTTATGATTGAAGAGTTTTCTATTGGGGAATTCTTAAATAATTCATGAGGTATTCTGCCCCTTACTTTATTACCAAGAACCACTCTATACTCTTATTGTGTAAAACCTATATAAAACATTATAAGGCTTTAAATAGACTTGGATGAAGTGTTTAAAGACTACTTGCATCAAGTTAGTGACAAAAGGCTGTATCTAAAACCAATGCATCATACTACTAAACAACAAAGATTTCTGAGTGAAAATATTTTATATTTCCGCATGTACCTAGTACAATCTTAATGGCATATCACAGTACTCCTTTATTTTGCTACAATATCAACATATCTAGTTCACAAAGTAGGTGCTAAAATGAAGCCACAATTTTTTATTTTATAAAATATCAGTACAAACGTGTAGATCTTTTAAGCCTGGCTTTTAAGGTAACAATTCAACATAGACTAAAAGACGTGTAGGGCTATGTATCAAAGAATAAATTATTTTCATTATTGTAATTACAAACCAAAGGCAAGCATAGCAAATGTGATTCAAGCAAATGTGACTCAGGTAAATGTGATTCAGTTTATTCAGTTATATCTGGCAATGTGAACACTTTTTATACTCCATTGACTTCAATATCATTATGAGCTTTTTATGTGAGCACCTATCAATGTGAACACCTTAAGCCGTTCGGTGTTCACCTTACACAGGTTTTACTGTATTACTGTTTTAAACTGTTTATATACTGGTCCCTTGAAAAACACAACTTGAACTCCTCTAAGTTGGAACCATTAGAGGCAAAAGTGTATAAGCTCCAAGAATTCAACTTAAGGGTTTTTTGTTGAGAGGTTTCAATCAGTTACTCACTGCAACTACATGTATTACAAACATTTCTATCTCCTTATAAAAATCTAATTTGGAATGGTTGGTGTAATAAGTACACATAATATGGCAAAATGATTTTGACATTAACTGAAGTCAAATAGGATCACTGATCTAGAGTGATTGACAATCTACAATCAGCCTTATTAAGCCCCCAACACCTTCTGAAATACTACAACTAACTAGAATTACATTTACAAATTTTCCATACATGTACAATACAATTGATGTACCAACAAAATGATAGAAGAAAATCTAGGATATTCCTCATTTGTGTAGTTTTTACCAGTTACAATACATATTCAAAATGCTTTCATGGCATAAACAGGAAAAATAACAGATAAGGCATCACCATGGTGATAATAAAATCATTCAAATCAGCATAACTTCTATTAAGTGTTCATTTTTCCAAAAATTGGCAATGGATTCTAGAACTCCCCTATAAATATATCTAAAAATAGAAAAATTGAAACATCATTGCTTTTTGTCCTTTTCTTCATAGGTAAAGCTTTTTATGGATGGATTTGGGAGTTTTGTAAAAACTAGAAAACATTTTTATCTAAACCTATCATTTGAATCTAAACCAAGTCACAATTTAAACATTCTTGGACCTGTATTTTCCAAGCAGTTTCATACCTTATATGTTCCCCATAACATATTCACCTCCCAGATTACATTCAGAATAATTACATTTATAACATCCTTGCAATTTGTTCCCATGGCCAATCTCAATTTTCTAGTAGACACCTAGTGTTGTATCAAATTCCCATCTTGGCAAACTGATATTGCATATAATTACACCTGGCTTACAACAGCAGTATTAAATGCTAAGGAATCACCAAATAATAACAAATCTGCTTTCAAGAAAGCTAATTCTCAATCAAGAAAACTATTTAGATGAGTTTGGTATTAGTCTTGCATCGAGTCCCTGACCCCCCCCCCCCCTCTACATCTTCTTCAACTCCAGATATGGATATAGAAATGAGGAGAGCATGAGAGGGAACAGGGGTTTGAAGCAAGGCCAGTTTGGTATTTCTCTCACCACTGGTATAGCAAGTGTATGTGGCACTATTCAAACCAGATCCTTACCATTGCTTGTTGTCAGTAAATGTACTATTGGTTTGGATCCAAAACTCCTCTATTTATGTGATGGTTTTTACAATGAGCATTTAATGAGTTTGACTTGTAATATCTTACATTTTCCCCTCCGCAACCAAGCAGTGCAATTTTGAAAGTAACCTTTACAAAAAATGTTATCTTCAACCCTTTAACATTTTTCAGTATTTCAGAATTAAATCCTGCAAAACATGTTAAAATCACACTCAGTTTTGATTCATAAAATTCACAACAATTTGCTTATGATGAGTTCACAATTTTGTCTAAAGATAAATTGCAAATTGCTAATTTTAGCAAATTTTCGATTCAGTGAAATGAACAGGATTTACCATAGGATTAAATATTGTCTCTTGAGCAAATTCCTCAGTCTACATTGAAGCTCTCTGAATTTCATATGAATCTTTAAAAAAAGATATTACAACCAAACTCATATTGTATCATCTAGGGAATTATTAGCATTATAGCTCATCTTTAACACTGTCTGATAAAACTGTGGATTTTTCTTTGAGGAACTTCACGAAACCATCTAGTGTTCTCTCCCCTTCGAATTTTATTGGATTTTGCTTATCCCCTTTAGGTGCAAAGAAAATAGTAGGGAACCCTGTAGCGCTGTATGGCTCTGGGGAGTCATTAGCAGTTGCATCTATCTTAGCAATAACTAAGTCTTTTTCATTCTGGAATTTTTTGCCCAACTTCTTGTAAATGGGTTCGAGACTTTTACAATGTCCGCACCAAGGGGCATAGAATTCAATGAGGACATCTTTCTTCTCATCAAGTACTACTTTCTCAAAGTTTTTGCCCACAACTACGGCAACTGGTCCTTGTTTCTTGGGAACTGGTTGCGATTTCACAACTGGAGGTATTTTCCCTGGAAAACAAAGCTCAGATTGAATGTGTATTAAAATACTTTGAGATTACACACTGAATCTGTGTGGGCTCACTGGATCAAAATAATGTACAAGTAACTAGACAACAGCAACGCCAAAGCGTAGCAAATCCCATCGAACAGCCATGGCTTGCATTTTTACAAACAAAGTATAAAGCAAAAATGGCAGCCATTTTTCAAAATGGTCACCTTCTACCAAAAGTGTCATTAGACAGTGTGCCATGCTTATAGTATTCATATACCAAATATGAACAAAATTGCTCCACTACTTTTCGAGTTACAGCAAAAATTGTAAAATAATGAGTAAAGGCCGCCATTTTTCAAGATGGCTGCCATGTGCTTCTTTAATATCTACATTTCTAGCTTTATTAATGTCCTATATATTTTTTTACATTTAAATCATATTGTAATAACAGTTTTACATATTGCACCTAAATTACTGTAAAATCGGCACTAGAATGACGGCCATTTTTAAATGAGCGGCCATATTGAAAATTGGCTTTCGAGCAGAACTTCTACCCACGGATGTACAGACGGACGGAGGCGTTCCCTATATCCCTCCGAACTTCGTTCAATGGGATAATAAAAGAGTACCATTCCGATAATAATTTCACCATAATCAACAGGAGTATCTTTAGGAAGGATACCACCTAATATGATAATTCAATGGATCAATCAATTGTGTCTTGAAAGTGGTCACATTTAAGAAAATAGCTTGCTTCAATGAATGTTTTATTTTATTGATTCGTAACCATGTTAACCTTGTGGAATATGTACCTTTCTTGAAATCATCCAAGAATTCCTGTATCTCATCTGCGTCGTAATCTTCCATTGGTTCCATTCTGTATTTCTTGTTGTTTTCTCCAAAACATCCAAAGTTCAATTCTTCACCGGAGTCTTCCAGTTGCAGCGCTTTCAGGTCAGACTCAAAGGCATCCTCACTGGCTATTGCAAATGTGATGTCACGGTTTTTGTTGGCGATGCTCAGGAATTTTTTGCGCCAGATCTGAGTAGCTGAAATGTGATACCAGATGGATTCATGGCAATGTGAAAAAATTTACATTTAATGCAATTCAAATTTGACAGGGTTACAGAACTAAATACCATGCAGTATTTCAAATTGGATGATTTGAATAGTTTGACTTGAAAAATTGCAACTCCACGGAGTAGCAAATCCCACTGAACAAAACATATTATGCTTATTATAGCTAGTGTAAATGTTGAAATGTTTGTGCACTTTGTGATAGAAGCATGAAATTTGGCACAAAGTTAGTTTATACCATTGTGAACTAGGCATCATCATATAAAATTTGAACCAAATCCATTCACTGTTATATGAGTTATCAAAGATTACGTTTTTTACGAAAATTGGCCACCATCTTGAAAATTATTTCTTGAACAGAGCTACTGTGTCCCTAGGCATAATCATATAAAATTTCAACCAAATCTGTTCACTGGTATTTGAGTTATCAAAGATTACGTTTTTTACGAAAAATTGCCGCCATTTTGAAATTATGCGGCCATCTTGAAAATTTTTTGTCAAACATAGCTACTGTGTCCCTAAGCATCATCATATAAAATTTGAACCAAATCCTTTCTCTGGTATTTGAGTTATCAAAGATTACATATTTTTACGAAAAATGGCCGCCATTTTGAAATTAAGCGGCCATCTTGAAAATCTCTTTTTGTGCAAAACTCCTTTGTCCCTAGGCATCAGCATATAAAATTTGAAGCAAATCCGTCAACTTGTATTTGAGTTATCAACGATTACATTTTTTATGAAAAATGGGGGCCATTTTGAATTGAGCAGCCATATTGAAAATTCCTTCTCGAGCAGAGGTCCTACACTCATATGGCATAAGCCTATAACATTTGAACCATTTCCGTCAACCGGTATTAGAGTTATCGCCCGGACACACGGACAGACGGACAACGGACGGCTTCTCTATATCCCCCTCGAACTTCGTTCGGTGGGATAATTATCTTACAATATCTATTAAATTTTAAGAGTGATAAGACAATATTGTAAACATGATTGGGTAAATAGTATCAAGTATATTACTAAAAATAAATATAAAGATGCGAATGTCATAACTTATCGTAACAGTTAGTTTTAAGTTTGAAAAAAATGATTACTAAATGAATACTAAATTACTAATCAATAAATTACTAAATAAATAAAAAATAATAATGTACCAGGTGATTGGGGATTGAAATGACACCAAACTTAAAATTTTGAAAAACACACCTTCTCTGTATTCGAAGCTGAAATCCACAGTGTAATAAAACACACAAAGAGGGAAGTTATTGTAACGCTTGGCTCTATTACTGGAGGTCATTTCACCAAGAAGAGGGATGGAATTTTCCTTGAAGAACTTGGTCACTTCCTCTGTTGAAGAATCCACCTAAAAATATCATTGTGTGATATCAGATTTTACATCTTACTTCACATTTCAGGAATAAATAACATTGAACACATTTTCAAATTTCATTTCACATATCTTAAGTGCTTTATTTTTTATATGAATATAAATTGAGATGCTGCATTTTTCATATAGAGATTCGACAATTCAGCTTTAGGAAATAAAATGAACATTTTTTTTTTTTTTTATTTCATTATCATATTCATTTAGTATTACATTAACAGTGTTGGCACTTGATACCCATAAAAGGGCATATCAATGTTGACATTGACAGTTGAGGATTAAAATGGAACATTACAACAACCTTAGGAATCTTCTCAATACTTACATTGGATAGTGCGACCCACTTTTGTTCATATTTGCTCTGGAATCTTTCAGGGAGGAATACCACAATGGACCCTGCGTTTGTTTTATATGCGTCTCTGGCACTAGCGTCAAATGTGTGGTAAAAACTGAAGTCTTCTCTCATGTCATTGGCTGAAATAAAATTGAATCATAAGACAATTTCATTGAAACCACAAGGTACGATCTGCAGTAAAACCTGTATATACGTTAGCACCTCCTAATCTGAACACCTCTTAATTTTACTGCTCTCATTTTCTAATATACTTTAGGCCTAAACTTTCATGTTTAGAAATTATTGAAATATGAACACCAGCCAACATAAAAAATTAAGCTGCATGGTCCCGATGGTGTTTGAATTAGACTTTTACTGTATAATCCAATCATGCTGCAAATATCCCAGTAAAGTCCAGGGGACTGTGACAATTATTTACGATCGTATCTCTTTGTAGAAATGAATATATCAAAGTTATCTTAAAATTGAATAAATCTGATAGGATCTTGCAAAGAGATTTGTTAAAATTAGAATTTGTAGTGAGTTAAATTAAATAATTAAAACAACTAGAGAATCATAAAAAAAACTTATCACAAAGTGAAGCTTAACTTAATTTAATCTGAAGAAATATAAAATTATTAGATTTCAGTTAACATGTTTCACAAAAGAAAAAAACTAATTGGTATAGATCTGAAATATTAATGCAAATGTTTTAAATTCTGAAGGAAATATTTAAAAATTACTTCCTATACCCCTTCCTCATGTATTGATTATAAACATACCTGCTTCTTGATAGGTCAAATAGAGTTTATCATCGGCATTTTCGAAGAATCCTACAATTGTAACATCAGTAACTTCCATATTTCCTTTAATCTCTTTTGTGGATTTCAGCTCCTTTGAAGCTTCACCTGACTGTTTCAACATGTAGTCATATATACCTGAAATCAACGTAATGGTTCATTGTCATTTTATAACACAGACATTGATTGCTTGAAGGGTTACCATGACATTTTCAAATCAAAATTTATTGACTTTTTCTCAACTTATCTCTGATTCAATAGTGAAATTTCCTGCGCAAATTCACTGTTTTTTTATTGACAAAAAGAGACAATTTACAGATTCACTGACTGCATCCATATGATTATTGGAGTTTCCATTTAGTTCTCTCTCATTTCATTGTTTTTTTAGTTTGTGGTCAAATTTTTAACTTTTCAAACCCAAAATGGAGTTTTTCTGACCATGGCAACCCCATAAAGTTTTTTCAAATTAAATACAAAGGATACAAGATTTAGATTTCGTTTTCTAATATTAACTTACCATATTGCTCTCTAGGGCCTTTATATTCATAATCTTTCCCTTTACGGAAAAGCTTCAGAGTTGGGTACCCAGATACATCAAACCTCTTGGCCAGATCTGGTTCAGTGGTAGCATCAACCTTGGCTAATGGTATAGGAGGGTCTGCAGTCTCAAGGCGCTTAGCTGCTTTCTCATATTCTGGAGCAAGTTGCTTACAATGTCCACACCTAGTGATGTAATGAGACCGACTTAAACATTACACAGATATCTCATGTACAAGTACAAGCAATTCCTCCCTATATAGTGAGCATAGTGAGGCAGTTTAAATCACAAATTACAAGAGAACCAGTAAATGGAAAAGTACTAGAAATGAGAGCACTGGATGAAGAGTATACCATCTAAACTGTGAATGCAGCTCCATCTATTGAAACATACACAGATATCTGTTTTGCTGGAAATCAATATATCGACCTGACTTTTAAATAAATTAAATATTTCATTAGAATCCAAAATGCAAACCTACCAAGGTGCATAGAACTCCACCAAAATGAGATCAGCATCGTTGACAGTTTCATCAAAGTTGTCTTTGGTGAGGGTAAGGACGGACTCTGGGGGTGGTTTGTAGTTGGGGTCAGTTTTCTCTTGCATATATTGAACAATGCCTAGAAAACACACATGGTACATTTATAATTGAAATATTTGAAGGAGTTATAATCAAAGTACCTGAGCTTCTATTTCTTACTAAAAATGAAAGCAAAGCAAAGTATGACTTTCAATGGATCATGATATAATTCAAAATACTTGTATTCTATGCTTAACATATGACACACAAATGTCCTTTAGATCTTGAAATTTCTCATGACTGTTACCAGTTGAGCAATTGTCAAGGTTCAGTTTTTACAGAAAAGGTTGTATCAATGTTTTTCTTCAAGGTTATTTATTTCACATAAATCACATTTTACAAATTAAGAGCTGTTAGTACATATACTATTACAAACAATGTGAATGAAACACAAGCCAATACAAGGTCAAAAGATATTTTCGGCTTGGAAAGACATTTTTGTTCATCATCATGTAGTGTATGAAAGAAGTTGCTTCAAATATATTTTTAGCAATGTTTTTAGAAGTTGGGCCGATGAAATAGTAAATGTAATATTTCAAGTGTCGCAAAGAAGCAGAATGAGTAGCAAAAATGAAATTCAAAATCCCTAAGACATCTTGCAACAAAATCAGTGAACATCCATATGAAGCATACCATCGTGTCAATAGAACAGGCCACAATAATGGGATCTAGAGGAACTTATTGTTCATTACACTTACCCATTTTCTCTCTAGGACCTTCATAGTCATTAGGCTGTCCATCTTTAAACCACTTTAGTGTAGGATAGCCACTTACATCAAATCTATAACAATACCAAATGAAAGGATGTTATTAACTTTACAAAGTTTCTGTTGCGGCCTTATTTATAAAAGAAAAATACTAACATGGATTTAATTAAAGTATGTAATGGATTCTTCATGGATTAAATTCAAGTATGTAAACAAATCTTATTGCTTTTTTTAAAAATCAGATCCCCTTGTATGAGATGTATGATAGAATGAAGATGTTTTATATGGCAAGTTCTTCATCAATGAGAGTACAGTGTATGTACATGTATAAACATCATAAAACAGCTCTGGGATAAGCTGGTATTACCTCTTTATTTTGCTTAATTGTTAATTTACCTTTGTGCAAGTTCAGGCTCAGCAGTGGCATCAACCTTTGCAAGGACAACATTAGGGGTATCCTCATCCTGGCCCATTGTCTTCAGTATAGAAGCAGCTGCAGCATACTCAGGTTCTAATGTCTTACAATGGCCACACCTGGTAAAAATATACAAGATATTTTAACACATTTTGAGAAAAAATGTCACTAAATAAGTTACATGAGCTTCTTTCAAATTTCTAGCAACAGAAAATTGCTGTTCATCAAAATAAATGAAAACAAGAGGAACCTATTGAAAATTATAATGACTTAAAATGGCCATATGTAGTGAATATATACAAGATATTATAATACATTTTGAGAAATATAATAATTATCACCAAATACATGATATGAGTTTTAATTATTTGAATTTGAATTTCTGGCATCAGGGAAAATGAATGAAAACAATAGGAAAAGACAAAATTCCTCTAAAAGGCAATTTCTGTGAAACCACAACAGTGTATCCCATATTGCCTACCAATGAAATCACTGAATATGAACCAGCATGCCTAGAAATATAACACTTGGCTCACAGTGTACTTCATTTCTGTGAAAATTTGAAACTAATGGATGACGTAGAGCAATGCTGATTAAGGTGTGGTATCTGTAGACCCGTAGCCAGCTTTTGCCAAGGGAGGGTTCACTTTTCAAAAACTTCCAGAGGGGTGCACAGTTTACCACTTTGGCCCAAAATCACTCAAGGTGCTCAGAATGTTGAAAAGCTGCTTGATTTTGAAAGAAATTTTGGCCAGAGGGAGTTCGCTTGCATTCCAAGCATCCCCCTTTGGCTACAGGCCTGATCTTCTATAACAGTATGAGGTTATTACAATATTGATAGAAGTTATTACAATAACTCTTGGATAAATCTTACCAAGGTGCATAGAACTCCACCAAGACAAATTGATTGTTCTCGATGGCATCATCAAAGTTTTCATTTGTGAGGATAAGAACATCTCCATCTTTCTTGATCTTCCCAGCATCTTCTTCTGCAGCTGCATCACTCTCTTCATCTGTAACAAATATATTTAAATCCATGTTAGTATTTTTCTTTTATAAATAAGGCCGCAACAGAAACTTTGTAAGGTTAATAACTCCTAAATCAATTGTAACCATGGATGTAATGATTCCATAGTACAACAAGGTATTAACATGCAAAATGTGACTACCTGCCATTTGTTACAGAAGCTGAACACCAAGCACCATCCACAAAAATGGAGACTATAACAAAATGTTGCCACTGATTGTGACATGAAAAAATTGTTTTGTTAATTCTTAACTTTTACTAAGTTTCCATTTATGATAACCAGGGGGTCATTTACAGAACTTTCGCAAAGTTACGAATTCGTAATTCGCAATTCAGGTTCAATGTCATTGCTATTAAACATGCGAATAAGATTTCCTTCGCCAATGGTCTCCATGATGGATATATGGAATGGATAAGAAGATTCCGTAAATGTATTGTCTTTAAAGGCAAATACTTTGAAGGGGACAAAGAGCCTTGAGAAGTTAAGAAATGATCTCGTTCGAATGTGCCATTGGAATGTAAGAGTAGTAATAGGCTGGTGTAAAGCCAATTCTGTGACGTGTTAATTCCTTTTACAGTTTTATGTGACGTTATAACTGCAAATATTTGCTCCACTGATTCTTGACGACCCCTTTTAAAAGTGCTGCCAGGTTTTATTTCTCAATCAATTCTAATTATATTTCTAAGATGTATTAATAAATGATATATACACATTCCCTGAAAATTTCGTTGTTTGATGCCATAGTAAAAATTTTAGAACAAAAAGAAAATAACTTTTCAAACGCGCCTTGTATATAATGGTACAATGACATGGAAATAATTGAAAAAAGAATTATGTAAAATTGAAAAAGTCATCACTATCAATGACATTGAACCAGAAAATATCTCGTCCATAAAGTGTAGGTTGTGACAGATTTTCAATATTTTGCAAATTGTAATAGGCCTAATTTATATCACTCGTACACATATTCAGAAATGAACAATACTGCAATCATGCCACATAACCATTTCACATATCAATTTTATTCATCAACTGATTACACAGGTGGTTTTATTGATCATATGTTTCAATCAAGGAAACATCAATCATTAAAAAGTGATATCAACTTCATCCCTTATAGCACACTATTCCCTTGCAATAAATGTTTGCCCTTAATTGTTTGCCCTTGCAAAAATTAAAATAAAGATGAGAGGGTGAAGATGCATCCAACTCTACCTCAGAGTATATAAGGTCGTTACTATGGTGAGAAAGTAAACTTATATATTTTCTGCATGCAAATAGATGAATCAACGATCAATAAAAGTCTATCATGAACGACATTTACAATAAACATGTTTTTTGTTATTATTTTGTTGTTATGACAACATATAATAATAAAGAGAGCTGTTTCTCAAGTTCCACATGTACATGCACCAGTACATGTGCATGTATTTGGAGAGTTTGTTATTGCAGAATTAATTTGCATTTCAGATCATATCTCCCATGCTAAAAGCTAGAGGCAAAACAAAACATTATGGAAAAATGATGATATAAAATAAAATGCAAAAGTGAACCAGAATTTCTTTATAAGAGCTTCTCTTCATCTGGAAATCTAAGGCCAAAGAAAAATTCCCTCATAGAAAACTACTGATTTGTTTCAAGATTTCCAGAATTATTCAGGAGGTTTGCCGCCTTGAGAAAGAGAATTGTATATGATTAACCGGAAGTTCATTAGAAAATTTGCAAGATGACCCATGGAAACAAAAAATATATCAGTACTGTATGAAATGGCACTTTTCATGGTAGAATAAGATGAAAAGGTGTTCAAATATATTTTCAAGGATTCTATCCTTTCGAGGTTTCATACCGAAGCCTAAAAATCGAGTTTATTGTTTAGAATATGAATATACAGTATGCACAAGAGGAGTGCAAGTTCTAAATCATCACATTAAGCACAAATGTTAATCAAATGTGAGACTGATAGATTTCCTATTTAATTTGACTTTTGAAAATTGTTTAGCCCAATTGTTTTCTTCAAGTAAGTTTGACGTGAAAAAATATAGTAATTTGTTATTTCATGGTTTTGTGTTGGTATTTTTCAACAGTGTTGTGAAAGTTTGGGTTTAATTTGGGATTATCCAGAGTCTTAAGCATAAGGCAGTTTGATACTTGAATGCTATCATTGACTTCAGCGATCTATGTTGTTATGGTCCCAAAGTCCAAGTCTGTTGGTTTAGAGTTTAGACCATGGGGTTTCCTTGAAAGCCAATGTTTAGACTCAAGTAACTTTGGAGTTTAAATTATAATATCACTAGAGTTGAGGACATCCAAGGAAGAGGACCCAAAATGCAATGATACAACTTCCTATGGAACTTATAACAGTAAAAAAAATAGAATAGACAACTAGTCTTGTGAAATCACAGATCCGGAGCCAGATCCAGCCTCTATTTGTTAGTAGGCTCAATGAATAAATAAGAAGATCGGACACAAACCAAAAATGGTACATCCAAAATATGACTACCCAAAGAATAATTGATAGCAATTATTGACGCTGTAAATCAAGTTTTCCCGGCAGTTACCGATGTTGTTCGTCTCTCAAATTATGTCACATCGCAACAAACAGCCAATGAAAGCAAAGGATCGCGTAGCCTAACAAACCGTTGTTATTGTTTCTACAGGAGTTTAGAAACGTCATGGGGTTTCTCAGTAATCTCTGATGTGACGTCATCCAGAGTGGCGTCACATTTTCAGAAAAGACATTTGACTCCGGGAACAAACATTTGAACAACGGAAATAGCTGAAACACTCCATTATATATACTCTCCATTATTTTATGCTATTATCAACAGACGCATTCTTGAATGTATGGCTTTAGAGCTAACAACACGCATCGTTTCAGGTATGACATGTGATATCTATTGATAAACTGACTACAAAATCAAGGAAATTAAAATTAAAAGATTTTGTGTCTTGTCCTTGAGTATATTCATTGAGCCTAGACACCAAGAAGATGAAAATGAAATCATGAAAAATTCACAAATCAAGCTCAAATTCTGAAGCCGAGAAGAGGATAAATGCTGAAATTCAAATATGTGCGAATGCAGTAGGAACAAAAAATATCTTAGCACTTACCACCTTCTTCATTTTCATTATCTGCATCGTCCTGAGATATTACTATTGATACAGTTAAGAGAAAAACACCAAAAACGAGAGCAAAATACTTTTTCAAGTCCATGTTGATGCCTAGGAACACCCGGAAATAGAATGTAGCCTTCCGCAATTTTGAGAAAATAACTCAAGTTTTCAAGCATAAAATATAAAAATATTTATTTCTGGTTATGGAGAAAGTCCTTTTTGGCTTTTATCATATAACAAACGTCGATGTTGAGTTAATAAACTGCAATTAAATACAAATATATATATTGCGGATGAAAATATAAAGTGACACGTCGTCCAATCAGAGTGTGCCAAGTCAAGAACTATTTTTCATTGACCTATTTTTTAGTTTTCCTATTCTCCGAAAGAGTGCAGCGCTGTAGATGGCGGAAGTTTCAAGTAAGCAATTGTCTATTTTTCTTCAATTTTCTCATTTACATTTGATTTTCTCATAATATAGCGTATACCATAATATTGTACATACACTAGGGATTACATAGACGTATAGTTTGTACTACTAGATTATTTAAGTCGCTGTGAAATTGTATAGCAAATTTCGATTGAAAACCTCACTTGTGAACAAACGACCTTGACCTGCACTTGCCTGACTAGTAATATGTCCTTGTGAATATTTACACTAACCAATATTAACATGACCTTAGATCACTCGTACTTAAGAGTCTAGGCACATGCTACACAAGGCTGATAAGGTTAGCATATGACCTTAACATTCATATAACTTAAGTTTGTCATGGATTTGTTAATTCCAATAATGAGATTTGTTTATGTTTTTAGGTTAGACATATAAAAGGTCATATATTTTAAAAGGTCATGTCTGTTGAGTAAATCCAAGTCTGTAATGCATGAAATAAGACACGTCAGAGTCATAGATTTCGCATTACATTTACCTAAATGGTGTTTTGCAACTGGAAATTGTTTTGTAAGCATACATGTATTTAGAAATTTCCTCGCATTAAAATATTCTTAATTGATATCATTGTTTTAATACGTAATATGTATTTTAGGCAAAAAATAGTTAATTAGAGCAATTATTTTGTTTTTGTAAAAGGGTGGGGGAATAATACTGCCATAAAGGTGTATGATGTATCTAAAATTCTTGATAATCACCATTTACCCCCCCCCCCCCTCCCCTCCCCCAGCATTTACCCTCCTCACACTTCAATTCTATGCCATATCATTCAAACAAAGCCATTATCTTATCTTAATAATGTTAGCTCCCTGATTTGTGATAAGGTTTAGTGTAAGGGTAGCCCGAGGGTAGACTACGACTATTAGGAATCTGGGAGTCATCATACCCTCACTGTCGAAGAGAATATTCTGGCGAAAGTAGGTATCCAAATTTGATAAATATCTCGTTCGAAGAACCGTTCGAAGAACGTATTAGACGTCCGTGCATACCCTCACATTTATAAGAGTAGGGGTTTAAAGATTTTTTGTTTTTTGTTATTCTTTCTTTTATGACCTTTATTGATACACATAGATTGATACATCTCAATATCTCTGAAGTATGGAAAGCTATAGAAGTAATTTATATGTACAATACCTCAAAGTTACAAAAATAATGATAAACATATATACATATAGATACAATATAATATGAATAAGTTGTCCTCAAAATGTTTTTGTTCTTGTATTATATTATATAAAGGAATGGACATTTCTGCCAAAATAGATTTAGGAGTAACATCTTTGTGAATATTCATTTATTAATAACAGGTTATATTATCGCTAAACAATTCATAAATCAGAAATATATGAAAAGGGTTTACCTTTCAACCTTGATATTTTTAAATAGTTCAAGGAGAAAGTTACTCACCTTAAGTGACTAGGAGTATACAGGTATATGTCTGAATTTAGACTTCCCAATATTGTGAACATGAGAATTTTGCACCCACTTGACAAATATCCTGTGGAGAACACTTATACAAAGGAGGATTAGATGTAGTCAGTAATTTAAATGTGTCTACTTTCAAATTTCAACCATACCATGATATGAGTCCCCATAGGTTAACTGTGTCTGTTTAATTTTGTTTTTCAAAACCAGATAGAAAAAGTACAATGAAAAAAGTATAAAATCCCCAAAAATTAGGAAAATATTTGACGAGAAGAGGTTTATTGATTACCTGGTAGTTAAACTCAAAACAGTCAATTAATTTGCATGGGCCTAATCTAAAAAGGAGGTCATGACCCCTGAACTGTTTCAGTATTAACAGTGGAGAGATTTTATCTTTGACATTGATTCACCTTTCAAATATTCAATTCAGGTTCAGTGAGAAAAAGTCTAAAATTCTCATTGTAGGCCAAAAAACTGATTTTGAGAAGAAGTGGCCATTTGGTGACTTAAGAATTTCAGAGGTAAAAACTTACAAATACTTAGGTGTCCTATTTGACAGATCATTAAAAGATCATATCCATCTTATGAATTTGATAGTCCCAAAGGGAAAGAAGTTAAAAGGCTATGTGACATCAATTCTGATTAAGCACTTGAATGTTAATAGAATCACTTTCGGTGATAGACTTTATAAAACAGTAGTAGTCCCATCACTCTTACACGGGTCTGGAATACTTTTACTAGACAAAAAGTCGCACATTAATAAAATGTCATCCATACAATATAATGTGGGATGCGCCATAATGGATGTCCATTGCAAACCTGCCAAAGTTGCCCTGTTTGGTGACCTAGGCTGGAAGCCCATAGAAACATTGTTGGAAAAGAGCATGATAAATTACTATATTTACCTGAAGTCCCTTAACAAAGACAACTTACATGCAAGGTTACTTAACGACATGGAAATAAGAGCCCAGAAGGGTAAGCAAATGGGTTGGGATTTCATTGGTAGTGTCTATAGAATCCTTAACAAATATGATCTAGATTTTAATACTGATTTTAGTGATCTAAAACAGATGTTTGAATGTAATATGTCTGATAAGCTGAAAAGCGATTTTAGTGACAGTGTTAATAATATGACTAGTCTTAAAACCTATGTACATTTAAAGAACAGATATGGCAAGGAGGAATACCTTCGAACATTCTCGAATGACTTCCTAGGATGCAAATATAAATTCCTTGCAAGGAGTGGTAGATTCAAATTAAGATCTGAAACCTGTAAATGGAGAAATCTGAGTAATGATCCACTGGATGATAAATGCACATATTGTAACTTGAATAGCGTAGAAGATATGACGCACAGACTCTTAATATGTCCCCATTTTAACGATTACCGTATAATTTTCTATAACTCAATCACTAATATCGATCCAAATATATGTACTCTGTTTTTTGCTTTACCAATTGAACAGAAAATTGTTTGGATTTTGGGAGATGGAGCAATGATTGGAGGACATGACTTTTATTGTAAATTTGATAAAGTGTCAAAGAATTTTTTAAAACAGATTTATAGTCATAACTTTTAAAGTAAAGATGTAACCATTTTAATGGATATTTACCTGGATGCACCTAATTTTAGTGTGCCACTGTTGTAAAAGTGTAATTCCAAATAAATAAATAAAAAATAAAAAAAATTCACCTTTTAGTTTATACACGACCTCTAACCTAGGATGCAAATATAAATTCCTTGCAAGGAGTGGTAGATTCAAATTAAGATCTGAAACCTGTAAATGGAGAAATCTGAGTAATGATCCACTGGATGATAAATGCACATATTGTAACTTGAATAGCGTAGAAGATATGACGCACAGACTCTTAATATGTCCCCATTTTAACGATTACCGTATAATTTTCTATAACTCAATCACTAATATCGATCCAAATATATGTACTCTGTTTTTTGCTTTACCAATTGAACAGAAAATTGTTTGGATTTTGGGAGATGGAGCAATGATTGGAGGACATGACTTTTATTGTAAATTTGATAAAGTGTCAAAGAATTTTTTAAAACAGATTTATAGTCATAACTTTTAAAGTAAAGATGTAACCATTTTAATGGATATTTACCTGGATGCACCTAATTTTAGTGTGCCACTGTTGTAAAAGTGTAATTCCAAATAAATAAATAAAAAATAAAAAAAATTCACCTTTTAGTTTATACACGACCTCTAACCTTAATTTCCTCCTGACCTTTATGACATCCTATTTCTGATGACCTTTAAATGCCAAGTGCAAATTGAACATAATTGAAACCTTTTGACCTTTATCAGTATACTGTAAGTACGTTTTACGAAATACTGTGACTAAACATTTATATGTGCAAGGCAATGGATTGGAATACAGCATTTGTGACTAAGGAGGATTAGCTCCCAGGTTTGAAACTCGATATTTTCCAACAATGGTAACGTCGAAATGTCATTATTTTCTAAAATTATAACTCACTATGAATTCAAAATAAACAGTTCAAGAGATTCGAACCAATATCTCGATCTTTTCTTGTGAGTTTTCATTCTGATTTAGGACCAAAATTCACGATTCAAATGTTGAAGTGAACAAAATGGCGGCTGTTTCAATTTGAATTTTGTATCACAACATGCTCATATATGGGAAAGAATATTGATGTTGCACTCTGGGAGCCAATCCTCCTTGATTTGTGACCGACTAGTTTCAACATTAGGCCAAGGTTTTATAAGAGCTGATACTATAATAGAGAAAGTTCTATAAACTGCTTTATAAAATCTTGACCTGTGAGTGTAAAGGACTACTCACATGGGAGAGGTGTTCATTTTATTATTTCCACCAGCTTTTCACATAGGATATTCTTTTCTTGTACTTCAGAATTCGCATCTAATAAGGCCTAAATACATGGCTTGGGAGTTGAAGGATGAAGATTCTAGTTGGGAGCCTCTAACATTAAGTCAAAGTTTCTGCTAACATATATAGGAAGAAGGTAAAAACACCATTTGGTCTTCTTTAGTCTTGCATCAAGTCTCCTGAACCCTCTTGCTACTTCACCTTGTAGAGATGGGGTATACATATAAAGGAGGGGGGGGGGTTACAAGGACTTGAAGCGAGACTAGTGCATAACAACTATTTGTGTAAATTTTGTAAACAGGAGATGTGTATACCACTTAACATTATTTACAGTGTTATCTGAATTTTATATCCTGAACTATTTAAGTTGAGAATTGTTTATTCATTGCATCAATTACAGTCTAGGAATTAAATTCAAAACATTAAGTAGGCTACTGTTTCTTTGTACTCTGACATTTTATGTCAGATTCACCTAAAGGTCAGACAAGGCCACACCAATCCACAGTGCATAATTATGATACAAAATGTCGTGAAAATGTTATAGTCTAAAGGTTATATCTGTAGAAAATCGTGTTATACTAGTATATATTTTTATTGAAACCAGTCATTTGTTCGTTTCAAGGCCTGGTGTCATACATAGCTTAATGATATCTCAAACTTGATTTTTTGAAGTATTTTAGATGAATTGTTCATGTACAAAAAATGAATTAACTGTCTTTTAGAATTAAAAAAGGTATAACTAACAATAATTCAGCTTGGAACTTGTCATATTGTATACAAGGCAGGCCCATAACTAGGAGGGGTTTCACATTTAACAACTTTGGCCCCAAATCACTTGAAAAGTGCTAAGAATGGTGAAAACTGTCTTATGTCGGTGCAAGTAATAGATTTTTATAGATTTTTGTTTTATTTAGAATAATAATTACAGACACTTTCCTTTTATGTCACCATCACAAGTGATGTCACCATCACAAGTGGTGACATATTGCTAACTTTATTTGTGGACGGTGTTTGGCGTCTGTAACAAATGGCATTTGTAACAAATGACATCTGTAACAAATGGCATGTGGTGACAGTTTGCATGTTGATGCTTTGTTATTAATGTTTTGCACAATAATAATTTATTACATTCTCTTATTTCAGCACTGTTTCAACATGGGTCAAAGATTCCGCTGCAAATACTGTGACTTTGAATGCCAGGGCAAGTTTGCACTGGATACAATGAAAATTCACATTCCTATGATACATAAGGAACAGCCTCTTGTGTACCATGTCCAGGACCAAAGTGAATGGACAGATACCTGGACTGAGGTTAACTGTGAAGACGATGGTAATAGTGTTAAAGACAACCTAAGTGCCGAATCTGACAATAATTCCGTGGCTGATAGCACTGACCTGTCCAATGTCAATGTACATGGTGTTGAAATTAAACGTGAACCACCAAGTGAGGATTCTAATGAACCACCCCCTAAGAAATCAAAAAGTGAAGGGTTTGGATTGAGTTTACCTGTCCAGATTAAATCTGAGCCTCGAGATGTAATTGAGAATGAGGAATCGGAGTTTGCCACTTATGCTGCTGAGCAATCAAAGGGAAATGAGGATAATAAAGATATTGATTTAAATGGAGCTTCTGAAATGTACCCCATGTTACAAACAATTCTTGCTTTACAAGCTAAAACTATCCAAGAGAGCTCTCCTTCCCCTAAATCGAATTTGAATTCAAACCTACCCTCTACCCCTCTCAAAGCTTCTAAAGTGGATACCCCTAGTGCTGCTAGCTCAAGTAAAGCACAACACCCAGAGCTGTTGACAATGTTGGCAAAACCGATTGAACCACAATCTAATAAAATTGTAAAACAATCACCAAGCCTGGTTCAGATACTCAGTAAACCTGCATCCTCAGCTATTGACTCAAAGGGATCTGGAAAAATTGTAGAAAATATGCTTCAGAGTACTATTAAGAGTGCAATACAGGCAGAGCTTTCCAGCTCCAAAAAAGACTCTAGTTACCCTAGCCCAGGAAGTAGTGCTGCAAATATGCTAACTAGAATGGCTGCGCAATCACATAACCTGGAGAATAATAGCTCCCAAAGTATGGCAGACCAGTTATCTAATTATCCAAATAACTTTCAAGTTGTTGATCTTAAGTGTAAAACATGTGGTAAAGTCTGTGCAAATAGCCACACTTTCAAACGGCACAAGAGAAAGCACCCAGATATTTACCCTCCAGGGCAGCCCTTTTCAGTCCAGATCAGCCCTATGGCTGTTTCCAAAGCTATGCTTGACAACCAAACAGTTCCCCTATTTGACACTAAAATATATGATAAACCCACTGAGCCAGTAGCATCGAAACCCAATCCAGCACCTGTAGATGATCTCGCCAACGATGCACCTAGTAAAGAAGATAATGAGGCAGCGTTTTATGTAATGGTTAGAAATGCAATTGGTGAGAGTCACAGATCGTCATCTCCTGCTACTTCACATTGCTCTAGGCCTAGCCTTCCTACGGTAAAAGCAATGCTAGCTGAGAAAAAGCCAGTAGCATCGAAACCCATTGACACTAAAATATATGATAAACCCACTGAGCCAGTAGCATCGAAACCCAATCCAGCACCTGTAGATGATCTCGCCAAAGATGCACCTAGTAAAGAAGATAATGAGGCAGCGTTTTATGAAATGGTTAGAAATGCAATTGGTGAGAGTCACAGCTCTAGCTCTAGGCCTAGCCTTCCTACGGTAAAAGCAATGCTAGCTGGGAAAAAATCAAATCCATCACCATATGCTACTTTTAAGAACCCCCCAATAACGTTTGAAGAAATGGTTCAAAATGCTAAACAAGGTAAAGCATATACATATCATGATTTTTATTACAGTTCCCCTAGTAGATCAGGAGTACAGTCTTCTGACAATAATTGTCCAGTTGAGTCAAAAGTAAAGAATGATTCAAAAGAACAAAATGAAAAGGAAGAGGAACATTTACTGAATGGAGAAATCAAAAAGAAAATACAAAAGAAATGGACTCTAAGGAGATATCCACTGACAATGCGGAAACGAGCGTCAACAATAAAGCAACTTTTGAGGACATGGTGAAAAAAGTTCTGAAAGACATTCCATCCACCCCAGAAAATGATAAAGAATCGAAACAAAATGAGGAAATCAGTAAATCTAATAAGATATTAAGCCAAAAGCTTAGTACTGAACCAACCGTATCAAGAAATTTCCCATTGATGAACTCAATTCTCGGCTCACCCCCAGTAATGCCAGCCAATCACAACAGGGAAATGTTCGACCCACAGCCACACCCACTAAAATGTCAAATCTGCCATAAAATCTGCTCCAATTCATATACATTTGAACGCCACAAGAATGTCCATAAAAAGAATTTCATTCCAAATGTCTCACCTGATGTTAAAATTAGGGAACTTCACGATGAATTGCCCGAACCTTGGAGGTCAATTTTTAAAGACGCTTATGAAAAGAGCATGACAGAATCCAGAGCAAGAGACTGTAAAATCTGTGGAAAGCTCTGTGCCCAAGACTGGATTTATATCCGGCATGTGAAAATGCATGTGAGACTGCTGGCCACAGAAGAGGAGAGTGGGTCACCTCAGATTGTTTGTGAGTTATGTGGGAGGCAGTGTCGATCATTTGTGGGTTTGAAACGTCATTGGGACCAGGCTAAACATGGCCCATACCCCCCTAGTTTTAAAGACATGGAACGGGCTCATTATCAAGAAAAATCAAATCAAGATAAAAATAAAGGCAGGCGACATAAACCACTGAAAGAAAAGGTACCATATAATGGAATCCGATGCCCAATATGTGGACGGGCGTGCCGAACCTATGAAATACTGAGACGTCACTGGGTCGACTACCAACATGGTAACATTGACAAACTTGAGAAATATATTATCCAACAGGCTGCTGAAGCTGCCTTGAAGGAACAGTTGGATGAAGGCAGAGTTGAGCAAGAACAAGCTTCATTGAAAGAATTTGCTGAAAAATTTAATGAAACAACAGAGGAGAATGGATCTAAGCGACCTAGTAGAGGCTGCAAATACAAGGCTAGCTATTTTGATGAAAACAACATTGAAAATACGGATGACAGTGAAGCAGAAGTTCCTGAAAATCAAAATGCCAGGGAGGCTGAGTTTCGAGAATATCACACTGAAGCACCGAACAGCAATTTTGTATACCTGAGTAACCCTGAACTGGAGCAAGATATAAAGGAAGAACAAGACATTGATGATGAATATGCAGAGTATAACAAGGCGTATGAGAGTTTTTATGAAGATCCTGATACAGAGACAAGCTATTCCCAAGGTGAAGAAAACTATGAAGTTCGAAAAGATGAAAATCAGCAAGCCAAGCCTGAAGGACAACAAGCTAACGCAGTGGATCTATTCAAAACCATGGGGGAGACCATTGAAAAAGACAATTCAGATAACCCTCTTGATTTCCTCAAAAATATATCTGGACTTTTACAAAATCAAAATGGCAAGTCTGAAAAAAGCTCTGGAACATTGAAAATCAAACAAGAAAAGTTGGACGATGATGAGCAAGCATATGTGAATACTGGAACTCCACAGCAATCTAATGGATTTAGGTATAATTCAGTGTCCCTTAATCAGTTCAATAATGACTCAAAGAACAACCCATCAAACTCTGAATTTGAAGCCATGAAAAACATGTATGAGACTCCGAGGGTCGCTGAGAGTTGTGTGGATAACTGGAATGCAGATGGGGACAATAGTATTAATGATGAAGAGGCTGATACACAAGATGATACAACTGAAGATGACATTGACCAAGACACTGATGGGGTAGAGGACAATGCCGACCCAAAAGATGGAGATTTTGTTCCATCAGCTGAGAGTGAAGAATCTGATATTGAAAACTAGTACTAGTGCAAGAGATTGGTTCCATAGAAATCAGATTGCTCAGCCTGGACATATTGTCTTCTCTGTCAATTGTGACAGACCTGAAAAAATTGTCACTGAACTATTTTTAATTTTGCTCATTCATGTAAATTCATTTTTGGAATTGAGATTCTGATAAATAAGTACCTCATTCCAAATATATTATGATTTTCCAAGATCACATTCTCAAATGTATTCTGATTCCATTCTGTACCATCTCTAGTGCTTTTGGGACAGGGATTCATGCTTTACTATGAGCAATGATATATATCAAAGGTGTCCCATGACAAGCTGGATTTTTCTGCATTTCATTATTTTGAACTGTTAATATGATGCAATGTTTAAAAACCAGTAAAACCTGTCAAAAATGGAACACCTCTGAAAGTGAACCATTTTAAAGATTTGTTACCTTATAACATGATGAACTCATGATGAAAAATGAAGTGAAACAAAATTTGATATGTGCAATCATTGTCATGCACTATATTATATGTTAGTTTATGAGTCATATTGTATTTATTTATATTATTGTTAATGGCAAGGTCAAAATATCAATTATGTAATAGGACCATCAACTTCACTCCCCTCCTCCTACTTTCATCCTCCTCCTTCAATCATGTTTGATCAAAATTAGTTGTTTAAGGAAAACAGTGTCGTGATTTTAAGAAAGATTGCTTCTAACATTTTACACAGCAATCTACATTTATGTAGTTTATATTGTATTGTGAATCTAATCATACAATAATATACAATTGTTGTAGCATATCTTTATGAGAGCAATCATTTTACTTATATATGCGTACAGAATCGTAATGATTGGTATCATCCATTATGAATATACTTCAGTAAAACCTGTCTTGGTGAACACTTCTCTTTAGTGAACACCTGTGTTTAGAGAACACCACTTCAAGATACATCTTACATTGACTCCTGTATAAAATCCTCCTCTGTAGTGAACACCTGCCTTCAGTGAACACTCATTTGTGGCTCCATTGGTGTTCACTATATACAGGTTTTACTGTATATTATTTAGTAGTTCAGTAGGTAACTCAACTATTCATTATTGTACAATAAAAACTGAGTATTATAAATCATGTAATGTTATGAATGAAAATTTTTAAAAATGAAATGAAATATTCTGATTTTTTAAATATTGTCATTTATCAGTTATTGTACATTATTCATTTTGGTTACAGTATAGTTTTATCTATATTTTATACATTTTATGATCTGTTAGTTCAGATCTGAATTACTTGTGCAGATGTATTAATATCTACTGAATTTCTTGTGCAAAGATCTAGATGTATTAACATCTCCTGAATAACTTGTGCAGATATATTAACACATATTGAATTATTTGTGCAGATGTATTAACACCTACTAAATAACTTGTACAGATGTTTTGACATCTATTGAATTATTTGTGCAGATGTATTAATATCTTCTGAATTTCTTGTGCAAAAATCTAGATGTATTAACATCTAGTGAATTTCTTGTGCAAAGATCTAGATGTATTAACATCTACTGAATTTCTTGTGCAGATATCATAACAATCAGCATTATTGTGTAAAGCGCTACTGAATTTTACTTTGTACACAATCTATTTTGTATATATTGCAATATATGGTCTGTATTATATTAAATAAATCAGTAAATAAAAATAAACATTTTTATGTCACCATCAGAGTGGTGACATATCATTCTATCATTGTAAAGGCTCCCAACTTTTCAGTGACTCACTGTCATTCATTTTGTAATATTTGGTTTTTCTCAAAGTGGAAATTCTAGGGATTAAAGAAGGTGTCAGCATTAAATAATTTGACAAGTTATTGCCATACATGAAACCTATTTAAAACAGCATTCATCTTATTAAAAAGCATTGATTATCAATGATTGCCTCTGAAGTTTGAAAAATAACAATACCTGGGTGTTAATCCATGGATAATCCTTGAAAATGAGAAATACTTTTTGGATTACATGGTGTAATCTTATACATGTAGTTAAAAAGTCCCACAACTTGCGGCCCTTTATTTACCTTTAGAAGGCATTTACTAAAGAAACTTGATTGCGAACAACAATCACTCAATAAATTTCACAAACTGTGGAGTATTCTCTAATAGTGCCATAGTTGGGTAATTTGGGGGGGGGGGCATTTTTTCAATTAGTTGTGAACATGATGAAGTATCAGTCAAAAATGAATGACATGACTCGTATTTCACTGGATGGAGGGCATCACTATATCCCTACCTGACTATGTTTATTTAGATAATTATCTACACTCCCCTCCATAAGTTTGGCAACCTTAGCTCCCCCATTGAACTACGTGTTAAAGCCTCTTTATGTTGGAATTTTTATTTACTTAACCTGCGATGCAATAACTTATAATATTAATGGAAACATAAATTGACTTTATTTCCAATACCTCCAAATTTTCACAATTTTTTTCCTCAATTACAATAGGTCGGAAATTGATGATAAATTTGATGAATTTTTGAAAATTGTCATTCCCATGTAAACCAATGGGTAATGGTGGGTTCAGGATAAATCATCAAAACGATTCAGCAAAAAATATATTTATATAGAAAATTGAATTGTCTAACTTTTTTGTTCACTAAGTGTTTAGTTTTCTTGATGAATGCTAAAGTTACTGCGCTTCAAAGTCATTTTTGAAAAGAATTTTTCGCCTCCTGTGTTATTTCAATGGGAGAGGTTTTTTGAAAAACAATTTTGACTTTAAAGCCCTATAACTTTGTTGAACCTGAAGAAACACATCAATTTTTGTTAAATAAAGTTAGCAAATTCAATTGCCTACCTAATGCCGGCCGATTGAGTGTTTTGTTCAACATGTTCAATGTTGTATTCAATTTTGAACAAAATACTCTATCGGCCGGGCACCATAGTGAACATCGGAGCAAATGTGACCCAGGCATTAGGTAGGCAATTGAATTTTGTGCATCACTCGTATTTTTTGCAATGACTCGGATGGATAGATATTCTGTCATATGATTTGCAGCAAACCTACCATTTCCCATTGGTTAACATGGGAATGTCGACTTTCAAAAATTTATCATCAATTTTCGATTTATTGCTATCGAGGACATTTTTTTAGAAAATTTGGAGGAATTGGAAATAAAGTCAAATTACGTTTCCATCAATAGTATAAGTATTTTCGTCGCAAGTAAAGTAAATAAGAATTCAAAGAGGCTTTAACATGTAGTTCAATGGGGGAGCAAACGTTGTCAAACTTATGGAGGGGAGTGTATATTCTCATGAAAACTAATATAATATACCAAACAAAAGTAACAGAAGTATTATATTTTATATTTGACATTTTGAGTTTATTTACTGCTTCTTGTCATTACACTTCATGACAAATTCATACATCGCAAAGTGGGCATAATTTTCCTCAATTTAAGGCCTTTCCAAATTAATTCTCATTAAGCAGAAATTATTTTTGGAAAATAACTCAATGACCAGATTTATTTTCTTCCTCAAAATAGTGAATAGGAAAGAAAAACCCTTACTATCTTATCAGAAATAGGGTTGCTTAGGGAGGTTTTTGGATGATCTTGAAAGCACTAATAACCAGAAAATTAAGTTGTAAAGGCCTTGTTGTGAAAGGGGAGAAATAATAGATGAATATTTGTGTTTTAATAAATCACTCTATACTAAACATACAGAGTGGCAAGAATAAAGGGCATTTTTAATTTTGAGAGAAATTATTTCACGGCAACCATTATACACACAGTCTTATATCAAGCTATTGTGCAGCTTCTCTCCGCACCCATCTCTCTCTTTTTCAACCCCCCTCATTCTTTCTAAACAACCCCCCCCCTCCATTCTCGATCTACCACAGAATCAGGATATATGAATTTTGAGACTTTATACAAGACTGCGTATTATTTCAAAACAGATAAAGTTACTTCACCTGTCATTTGGACACTAAAATGGCTCTATAATCATAATAATAATTATAATATTCCTTTAAAAATATTTCATGCATTTTAATTAATAAATAATGAAACGTGTAAAATGCAGATAAATTTTGCAGTATATAATATAGCTTACAATATAGAATTACTGATATACATATACACTTTCCTTCGAAATCATGCCTAAGTTGCTATTTATAGACTTTCTACGCTCCTTGTAGGTTCAATAGAGAATAATGTGTATAGTCATGTAAAAGAGATGTTCAACAGGTGTGATGAGTGTATAGAGAGTACAGCTATGTAAATGGTTATCTGAATGTAAAGTAAATCCTGTCTTATTTGAATACATATTTGTTGAATATCATTGGCATGGATTTTTAGGACAAAAACATGCACCAAAATGAAGCTTTTCAAAATTTTGAACAAGTTTGGAAAGAATTGTGAAAATGTGAGTCAGTTGAGAAATATTCGTGTCTTGTCAATGTGTGAGAATTTCACTAAGAGTAGACAGGTTTTACTGTACACCTTGGTTCCACATCAAGATTCTTAAAGGCACTAGTAAAAAGATTAACAATTTCTGGCTTTCTAAAATAGCTAGAATAAAGTTGATATAACATCATGGTTTTGTACAATTTTTATAAAAAAATATTTTGACATTACAAAACAACACATACACACCAATCTTAGCCACCCGTTTAAACGTTTACATGTTTTACGTGATGATTTGCTTTATTTTCAAATGAAGCAACACAAAATTCAGGATTCAAATACATGTGGATGTCGATATAATCAATTTTAAAGAAATCGAGTTCATACATAAATTTCCTTCAAACCAATTTTTAAACCAAAAGTAAAACTGATTTAAATGAAACAAGAACCAGAAATGTGGTATTTTTAGCATTGTTCATGATGATATAGATTTTGAAAATAAAATACTGTACATTATCTATCTTAGGATTACTTGTTTTACATAGAATAATGTATGGGAAAATATTTACTTAAAATAAAATACAGATTCAATAATACTAAAAAATTACATGAATGTAATTCATACACATACTCCATGACAAACTAACATTGGACCTTTCACTTGGGCTCGACTAAAATACTCAAAAATTTTGTAAAATCTTAAGCACATTTTGTAAATCGTATGTTTTCTAAATTATTTATATTCCTATAACAAAGAATAATTATTCATTCTGATTTTACTCATGATCTCCTACCTTTCACAATTTGTAAATATCGCCAATTTTTCTGCTCGCATATTGCATTATGTAACATAATTGTATTTATTTATATCTTTGTACAAATTGTAATTTATCTGCCCTATGGTCTACAATATACAATTAATTAAGTGTGTTATATTTATCATACAGTCCTATCTGTACCAAGGAGTAATATACAAACATGTGTGTACTCAACATGAATGTACTCAACACACATGCACTCAACATGTGTGCATTGTACGTGTATACACTTGCAATACGCTATAACTCAGTTGTCAGACAAACGCGTCTCTCTATGACCTTTTCTTTTTTATCTGGCGATGTAACATGCCATGGTGAAACTGTTGAGCTTCCATTTGATGTTGTGTTGGGTACTTTGACGATAGTTGTTGTTGTCGTCGTGTTCGTTAAAGTCTTTGAGTTACTTGGTGCTGTCTTGCGGGTTGTTACAGCTGATGTACCAGAAAATGATGTCTCCTGAAGAAAAAATGAGATATTGAACAGTTGTGGCTTGGACTAGTGAAATACTGTTAATTGTGTATAACTAACATTTCTAGTCTTCAAAATTAATTCAACTACAAGACATATTTAGCCTAAAACTAAAACAAATAATTTTCATTCAACTTATATTTCATTAAAAATACATTCAATGTTTTTAGACTTCTTATTACGAGAATTTATGCAAGAGTGCATTTACTTTATCTCAGTCCATGATCACGATTTTGTAATACCAGATGGGACAAATACAAGAACAGGAATATATCAAAATATATTTTTCAAACAATATTTACTATATTTTATTGCAAATCAAGACAAGGAGAGTGCAAAGGTTCAAATGGCTATCAAAAATGCAGATAAACAAAGCGAAAAATTTAGCAAGCAAACTAGTACTAATGAATTCTATCAATAGTGCTACAAATAAAAGGATTGGAATAAAATATGGTCTCAGAGCCTGAGGTCCATTTTCGGAAAAGTTGTAATCTTTAATTTCAGGAAAATTTCCCACATTTTAATTGGCAAATTTCAACTTTCCAAAATTAGGTTTCGCTCTTATTTCTTGTAGTCATGAAAATCAAAGTGTTGTTCAAAAATGTATTCTAGAACAGTTATGCCTAAGTCAACTATGATGGCCATAGCTTCCTAAAATCGAGAGAAATATGCAGCATATATAGGGATAAGCAGCATGATGTACATGTAGATTCTCTATATCAATTTCGTAAAGCTATTGCCAATGTTCAGCCGCCGTTGAAAAGGGTGACCGAGGCTTTACTGAAGAGGGTATGTTACATGCATCTCTTAACATGCACTGACACTAATGTATACAAAAGGAAGCAAGTCATGCAGTTTAATTCAACAGCAGCTAATCATTCTACATAAAAAAGAAGTATCAAATGAATGACAAGGTAACTATGAAAGAAACTGATCGCTTCGAATGTCACTCATTTGACCTTACATGTAAAAAAAGAGTGTAAAATATAACACAATATATTTCTAGAGATGATAACAAGTAGATTCCTCTTACGGATGTAAACCATATTCTATCCTTAATAGGGGATATAGAAATATTCTACAAGGATTTTTTAAAACATTCTCACAAGAGTATGATCTAAAAAATGATGAGGTCCCCTTTAGTGGGCATTCTCTAAAATGGGAGATACAACTGGAAATCTCCAAGGAAAACCATACTTAAGTCTGTTAATGCTTGAATAAAATTGTATTCTATAACAATAGGTCAGAAATTCTTTTACATATGCTTCAAAAGGAGACTTCCAGTTGCCAAACTTTTGGAGGGGAGTGTAAATAAAATGTTTATGCCAATCCTTAATAAAATACATTCATAAGATTAACACATGCATGTAAAAAACAATAGGTGGTTGAAACCAACACATGCACTACCTTACATAGTATGACCCAAATTATGACCAAAATTAATTAAATTAACGACCACAATAGACATTTCAGATTCATCCTGCCATCTTCTGATCTATTGGAGAAATATTGGCTAGATTGAAGATGTCATAGTAGTTGTACTTTTCAAAATTAGCAGAATTAATACTATTTTCACATGGACAGATTGCTACCAACAACCTATGATATCATCAATCTGCCCAATTTATTATAGTTTCTCTGATAGATCTGATAGATTTATAGGTTCACATTTAGTTTTATGGACATTTAATTTATATATCTTGACTCATAAGGTTGGGTCATAAATTAATAATAAATACTATTTTAATTGTTGTAAACAACCTGAAAATTAATAACAAAGTAATTAGTTAGTAGAAACATTCATTTAACACATGCAAATCTTCCCATGCGAAAATTCAGGTCCAAGTAAAATTCTCAAGATGTCGACTAAGTGTTACTTTATAGTACTACCGAACTGGATATGATTAGTTTTAATTAATTAGTATGGAACTATAGAGAATGTGCTTCTGTAATATAGCCACCTTGACTTCTATTTCTAGGTTTGTCTACTGTATCACAATGCGGTCTCCTATTGGAAAAACCAAACACATTTTATTTTCAAAGAATAACTATGTTCATGCATTTTTTAGAGTTTCTAAATTTTCAAACTTACTCAACTTTATTTTCGTTTTAAAAATCACATGCATTTGAAAACACCTTAAATAACTTTTATAGTTAACTTTTGGGTAATTCAAAAAACAGCATGCAAACTAGTTAGGACCTGAATTTGCTGAGAAAACTTACAATTAGAGCATCAATTCCAAGAACACCATTTTCTCCCAAGCTGTGACCTTCACCAATAATATGACCTTGACCCTTAGAAGCAGAAGGATTATACGGAAGAGAGGCTGTCTTAGCCTTGGTAGCAGGTGATGGGGACCTCATCTGAGGGGACTTCGGGGAGAGATTACTGGGTGATTTTGGAGACTGAAGACTGGGAGACCTTGGGGTCAAATGAGCGGGTGACTTTGGAGATTTGGGCGGTGGTTGTTTAGGGGATTTGGGAGATTTTATGACATTATTATTATTTGTTCCAACTATAGTCGAGGTAGTATTCAAGGAGTTAGAAATCTTGATGTTATTTTGTTCAGCAGTTGAAGTTTGGTCCTCAACTTGTATTGTTGAGAGCCGTGTAGTTGGGGCTCTAGTGGGGACAGCTGGTGGTGGTTTATTAGGTGGGGCTCCCTTGGGTTTTCCAACAGTTGGGCTTTTGATATTGCTTGACTTAGCTGGCACTGATGGTTTGACCCCAGTGGTTGTGACTGGGGTTGTTGTCGTAAATGTAGGTTTGGCACTATCATTTGTCGTGGTCGTAAATGTGCGGGCAAAGATTGATCTAGAGACCCCAGATGATGGGAGGGATAGGGTGGCCCCCTCTGGGAGAGCTGGGCGTTTAGCCACCTTAGTATCATTATCTTTTGTGGTTGTTACAACTGGAGTACTAGTGGCAGTTGTTGGTGTATTTGTATTAACATTGTTATTTTGCAACCAGAATGGGCTCTTAGGGGAGGAGGACTCTGTGGTTTTGCCAGCTGTACTTTGACTGGATGATACATTAGCCATGAAGGCATTGACATCCAAGTTTTCAATTTGGGTACGTAATGTGGCGATATCATCTTTGAATGGATTGTTGCTCTTGAGGGGTTTAGGGCTTACTGCTGGAGACACAGATTTAACATTGCCTGGGGATGAACTCTTAACAGAGCCATTCATGAATGGACTAGTACTACCCAGTACCTTTTTATCAATTTGATTCGGCTCAGGGCTACCAATAGGGGACAAAGAACCCAAAAGTTGGTCAAGGTCAATATCTGTCTCAGTTGAAGTGGCGGAGCTAGGAGGGCTAAAAGGTGAGATGGGCCCTGAAGATATGGAACTACAGGGACTAGTAGGAAGCAAGGGTTCCGCATCCGAAGCAACCCGACTCTTTTTCCCTTTCCCTTTGGTGCTCTTAGCTGGAGTCTGCTGGGCCACTACTACCTGTAAGAGGAAGCGCCATCTATAGTACTAGTACACAACACAACAATGGTAACCTTGGAAACCTCCATTACCCCCAACACATTGTCATTCTATACAAGGAATTAAGGTGGGTTAAGTAGACTGAATTTTATGGACCTATCTGTACGTAATATCACAACTTACACACAAAAGTCATTCTACTTGGTCTACCCGAATCCATCAAGTAAGATTAAGCAAGGAATAATGATACAATAGGGAGTTTAAGCTTGCAATGTTGTTCACAACCTAAACTTGAACGGAAAATATTCAAGCGATGCATTTGTATGGGCGATTGGTCATATGTATAGGTTGGCATTTCAAATTTATATGCAAGCTTAAACTCCCTATTGACTAAGCTAAAACAAGAAATGTGTAATAAATCATTTGGATTCCATAAACCCTCGTGAAAGTAATCACATATGAAAGTGTTTGAAAGTTATGATTTTTTGAATGGTGAGAATTGTATAAAATTATTGCATCGTGATAATTCAAAATATTCCTTTGTAATTCTCACATATTATTCTATAATGAGGACAATTAGAATAACTAAACAGTGATGTTAGTAGACCAGATGAACCCCCTCCCTTAGATTTCCATAAAGGCAAAAATATTCTATGGCACATAGAAATGAAGAAACAAAAAACGATTTGACTTAGGTTTCTTTCATTCTAGGCACCTTGATCTAAGGATACATCGTTGTTCTTATAAAAACATTAAAGCTAGAATCAGATAGAGTGACTGACAAAACTGCAAGCAATATTTATGATTTCTAACCATTTTTCCTTTACTTTTCAAATTATGATCGATATCATGATGTCATATTAATCATGATCATGATGTCATATTAAAAGGTGAAGTTATGGAAGTTTTTCGCAAATTTTGTCAGTTAATCTCTATGTCTGATTATACCTTTACTTCAATTATTTCAAGCTTCTATTAGCTGAAAGCTCTTTTCCTAATGACATATATCTACAAACGAGATAAAAAATTACATTTAAAATTAAGGGTAATGTTTGACTAGAAGCTACATGGTCTGACAATATGAGAAAAAAAAATCATGATGTCTCTAGAAGGTGTACCTAAATACTATAAACAAGCTGATCTACCTATTGAAGAAAATGATAAAATGAGGAATTTTTAAATATTATTGTGAGTCTGTGACACAAGTGTTAGCTTCAGAAATCACATTTTGAATTTATAAATATGATTTCTAAATAATCAAGATTTATGGCTATTCTCTATTCCATTAAATGCCGTATTTCTTTGTTCACCTTTACCTTTCATAATGTAATGTATGTGCCATCCCACTTCAGTAGATACTACCAAAAGGAGTGTTTTACAATAAATTGGTATATCAAACTGATATGTATCATAAATGGCTATTACCACAAGAGTAGATATTACCACAAGGGTAAAACCCTTTAGCCCAAAGGCTAGTAATAATTACTTGCCTCTAGCCAAGGCAAACACGTTTCTCTTGAAAAGGGTAAGGTTTAAACATTGATTAGTTAGAGCGTGATTATTGGTGCAGTAAAGACATAGCTGTGTGCCTCTCCTCCTTAACACTTGTGCCACTCAACCCTCAAGTTGGAGCATCTAGAAATATTTTCTGACTGCTAAGTCTTGCATCAAATATGTGGACACACCATATCTATTTCCCTTCATGATGGGGGAAACCAAAAGGAATTCCTTAGAATCATTGAGACACAGAGAATTCGAAGAATGGAGGAACTGGGGGAGGGGGAGGGTGAAATTTCTTATAATGGGGGACCCCAGAGAAATTTTTGAGGATGAAAGAAATCAAAGGGCCCAATGCTTTGGACCCTCAAGCTCTTATCTCTTCCTTGTCTTCGTGAGAGGAAAGACAACATTATGATGATTCAGATTGGGTAAGAGGCTTAATACAAGACTCTGGCAGAGTTTACAGTTTACAGAAAATATTTCCAAATGTCACTAAAATCACAGATAATAATAGACAACACCACAACAAATGAAAGATTTCTTATCACAGGGCAGTATCTGACTGTGTCTAATAATAAAATCCACTGCTCATACATGATAGAAACCTATTTGGAATACAGCATCACAGAATCTCAATATAACAGTACCAAAATTAAATAGTAAACAGAAAAACTGTTGCAGGTTACATAATAAAAAATAGAAAATGTTTATAAACACGTACTATATCATGGATATGTAAGCACTTTTCAGAGTGTCCAAAAAGGATGTGACAAATGTTTTGATTTTGGACCACCCTGTATGTATGGTGGGGTCTACACTACAAGCTCCCTCAGAGACACACAAAATAACATGATCTCATGTGAAATATTTCAAAGTTTGAGTCATAAAATTATGCATGGGAGGGGTATACACATTGTTCAGTGCAATGAGTGTTCAGTAAATCTATAGCTCTTTAGCCTTTAACATATTTTATTTTTCTGACTTTATTCTCTTTTACAAACGGTTCACATGGGATCATTATTATCAAAGACGAACACAGTGTCTTCACCCTCCCTTGAACTGTACAGACACCATTCTGTGTAATCTCAAATAGTGCCTCGTAAATAAAAAATAAAATAGTACCAACTGTATGTAATTTAGTACATATCACTCTGATTTTTGTATCAACTTGTACAGGTACCTTTCAATGTATGAGAGTGATATCAGACAAACATCATTTGGCGAATATTATACAATTCTATACTGGCACCCAAGGGTACTTTTTGTTTGGTACTAATATTGGTACTATTTGAGATTGCCAGAGTAGAGAACACATCTAGGACACCACAAAGAGATGAAAAGGAAGTAGTGTGTTTCCTAGCAACAACAAACCATTCATACATCTCTCTTAAAATACTGAAAAGGTAAAATTTCTCTTAAAAACCTAGACTATTTGTGGGACAAAAATATTGATATGGTGGAAATAGAAAGTAAAAGTGCCAATGGCTCCAGTCAAAGTATTTACTGTATCTTTTTGTGATCCAATAATGTCCCTTGGTAACCCTCTTAAAAACACAGTACATTAAACATAAATTCCCGTCTTGTATGCAATCAATGCAGTATATAACCTTCAGATTTCACCAAATACTCCTCAATGCAAAAAATATTCTGAGGGAATACTTCTTTTCAGCAAATCAAAGAGATGTTTGAAAGATTGTCTAAAACATTTCTGTGTGGATTTATACCTCCATGCATCATCACACTAGCGTGGAAAGTGTGGTCTGCTGCCATGCCATCTATAAATCAGTCACAGAGTTATTTAATCTAAATAGGAATTATTATCTTTTGCAAAAAATCCCAGTGGTTAGTTCAATCAGACTATCAAAGAATATTATAATGAGTTCAAATGGACTCATTAACATGAATTGCGAACTGTGATACCAGCAAATAATGCTTCTTTAGTTATGCTACTTGGATTTTTTGCTGGGTTATGTACACATGGTTGATTGGGTGGTTGATATGGTGACTGTCAAGCTGATCTTCATTGGCATTGACACATTCTTCCATAATTAGGATTTAATCCAAGGCCCCAATAATTTGCTGGTGGTGTAATGCACAAGATTCTTGTTTGCAGTTTAAACAAGGCTATTAGCCAGAATATTAAGACTTGTATAAAAGAATCAAGTGCAACAAACCACCATCAATTCATTGAGTCTTCATTGATGTTAACTCACATGGTGTAAAATCAGTTCAAGTCAAAACATAATTTAAGTGTCAGTTCTCGTACAATCAGGTAAAAGAACGATAAACATTGAACAGTTTTGGAAGTTGTCAACATTCCAGAAAATTGACCTAACGTCATTTTGTATATGTATTACCGAACAAATACTTACATCTAACAAACACATTTATGTACCATTCCCCAGTATTAATCTTATATAATATTATTTAAGATCTATCTATGATTTTAGCTAACAACATATAAATAAACTATTGCTCTTAAAAAGTGTGCTTTACGACCAGCAGGGTTATAAGATGGCACAACTCAATTCAACCAAAATTCAAAATGAGAATGTAATTTACATTACTATAATCTGCAAGTTATGAATGACTCACAGGTAAGTGTAATATAAATTGAGTTACGCCTTTACTTCAAACTAAACGCCACAAGGAAAGAGATTGGAATCCTTTAAATTACCAATCAATTCTACATCTAACATCTAAATGCCTCATAATAATTCTTTGCAGCTATAGATGAAGCATGATGCAAATGTCCTACAGATACCAGTCAACATTGCAGGCAATTCAATCTCGTCTGTTCTTTGTGTGCAAAGTATTATGGGTAATTCAGAAATAACAGATGTGTGGATATTCTCTGATGTATAATTCAATGAAGCTTTTTAGCTCATTATCATTATGGCGTTTAATTTCATTTCCTGCTGGTTATGCTGAATCTGAATTATACGTTACCTGTGGGGGACTTGACTTTGTGACAGGGGAGGGGGTTGATCTATGGCTGCTGGCGTCACTCTGTTGGTGTCGAGGTGGACTTGTCTCACTGTAAAATGAGGAGCAAATCCCATTAAGCAAATGTCAAGCAAGCAAGCAACTTTATCAAACTAACTAAGGAATTAAAGGAAAGCTGTACCTAAACATATTTATGCTTATAAAGCTCCTTGGCTTATTAGAAGTCAGTGAGCTGTTTTGAATCTTGCAAGAGAGAATGTTTTGGCACCTCTTCTTCAAATTTCTTCAATCACACACTGGAATAGCCTGACAACGGTAAAGTCAGATACCGTTGTCACAAATGGTGGACATAACCGTCGCTTCAACTGGTTAATCACTTGGTCCTCATTTCATGGGATTTCATCGTCGCTAATTCTGTGCATGCAGTAAGCTCTTGTGATAATTTATCAAATGAAATCCCATTTTCGAACAAATTGGGTCGTAAATCGCCACAATATAGCGTCTTCGATATCGTCAATGACAACGGAATCTGAATTTGAGTAATTTTAAAAGACAACGGCATATGGTAATAATTACAGTGTCCGTTGTCCCATATCTCATTTTGAAAGGTTAAATTAAAGACTTTATTTCGATGGTAGAACATTATTAACTGTACAGTGAGTATTAAGACACTTTGATTGGTTGTTGTTCCAAAGGAATTTAGTCTGGGTGCCCTATTAAACATACAATTCATGAAAATCTAATTGAAGCGACGGTTATGTCCACCATTTGTGACAACAGTATCTGACTTAACCGTTGCCAGGCTAATCCATGTGAATCAGGGTAAATGGCTTAAGTAGTATCCTACTAGTTATGACAATTATTCGTGGTGATTCAAATTATTAGTGGCTATCATTGAAATTCTATTCACTAAAATAAATGGCTCAGTATTCAAACAAATCAAACTGAAATTGAACTGATTTAATTTCTTCTAAAAGAATTTTGCAAGATGTCTTTCTGTTTCCAATTAAGGCAGAGTATAGGGGGCATTGTTGTCAGTACCAGGTATGTACTACACACAAAGCTGACAGATGTGACTGAATTCACCAGCTTACAAGAAAGTGCTCGTAGTTAGCATTTAAATTATTCTTTAAATGCAATATCACTGTTCCACAACTAGTAACTTTGATGGAACGTCAATGTAACAAAATGATTAAACTTCCTGGATAAGAGTTTTTTGTTTTCTCGATTTAAACCTCCATATAAGCTTTGTACAACTTTATTTAAAAATCAAATTCCAAACGGAGAGAATTTCTAAAAGCTAGACTATATTGTGTAACTTTGTGCCAAATGATAATTCGCAACATGACTTATATGTAAGTTTAAATCGAGAAAGCAAAAAACTTGTATCCAGGAAGTTCATCCACTTTTTGTTACATTGAAGTTCCATCAAAGTAAATAGTGAATGAGGTAGATGAGGCACTGGAAAATTGAAAAAATGTACTCAAAAAACATCCACACCTACATACTATATTAGTTGTATCTCGAGCCTCTCCTTGCTTGGTCTTATCACCCTAATAGTGGTTTATACTATACACAGATAGCTATAGCATATGTAAGCATATTACTACTGGCACTGGGCAAGATGTAGTCTAAGATTCCATGTAAAGTCATTGACTTATATACTATACAATAATGGTAATTGACCTATATGTACTCTGATGTCATTGACCTATATGTACATGACAGTCACTGATCAGTTACCTATAGTACATGTACATCTACTTGAAAAGTAGCCATTGACCTACATCTATAATGTACTTGCGTGTACAGCACAATTACTGACCTACATGTACATTATGGAATTTGACCTACATGTAATCTCTAACTACATCAAGACATGTAAACCTCTACACAGTACTCACACAATAAGACTTTTGCTAGAAGATATACTGGACAACATCATACTATAGATTCTACTGTTTTTGTCACTGAACTAAACCTAGGATTCCTAAACACAGAACACTAAGAAATATTACTCTCTTTGAACAATGTAATTCAAAAATCTGGCGATATGAAAAGTAAACCTGTTGGGTGGAAAAAGTGTGTCCCCTTACAGTGTTATTAGGTGCATTCACGCCCAGTGATCATACAAAATGGATGGAGGGGGGATTAGGTAATTAGGCCGCATCATCACCAATGTGCAAAAGTCAATGTTTTTGCTATAAATCGGACAACAATGGTCTACACGGCTTGTAACAAATAGATATAAGGGACATTATTACCACAATACTAGATGAACTAACATATTTGGCCATGCACTGCCCCTATTCATTTGGCAATTCAGTCGTAAATTTTCTATTGAAAAAATAAATCTTCCAAATTTGTAGTTTTCTTGCAGAAATCGCCTAATCCCCCTCCATCCATTTTGTACGATCACCGGGCGTGGCAATAACAATTTTACTTAAAAATAAAACATAATTTCTGGATATAATATTCAAATATTCATGTGTAAATTGAGAATGGTTATTGTTTAGAGAGCATAGAATACCCACTTTCAGAAGAAGGTTAGTGTACTTTTGAATTGCTCTCATGTTTTAAAAATTCATTAATTTTGATGTTGCTAAAGAATAAAAGATGAACTTCACCTTTATAAAATCATTTGCTCAAGCATAAATTTTGTTTCAACAAGGGGCAGAAGCAAGTATTCATTCAATGGATAAATATCAATTATATAAGAAGGTGAATAACTTTCTTAGTAAGCATATAGGGAACATAAAAATTCAGATATATCCTCTTTGAGTGTTAGTACATGTAAGAATTCAGTATATTTTATGATCATAAAATGTCAAATGAAAAAACACAATTAATGAATGGCCCTATATCCCAAGAAAAAAATCACATAAAACTGTTAACAGAAAATCTACACAGGTATTAATTATTACAGATACACATCGAAAGCATAATGTGAGTAAAAATGTATGCTTAACTTGGGTAGTACAGATAATTATTCCTACAAAATCAAACATAACTACTATAATAGTACACTATTGTTAGTTGCAAAAAATTCCATGATTTTAATACAGATAATAAACAGAGCTCAAAACCTTTACTATGTTAGAACTAATTAACATTTTGATTACAGCAACTTAAAACTTCATCAGATAAAATTCAGAGTCAATTGTTAATGCATAACAGGCATTCGTGAAATATTTTCATTCATTGATTAATATTAAGTAAAGAAATCAAAGAATGATCAGTGTTCGTACATATCAGTAAATAATTGCCGTTTCTTACCTATTTGTCACCAGTCCAGGTGATTTTTGTAAAAGGTGCGTTGTATCCTCCCCTGTGTTTCGACTGTAAATAAGTTAAATAATTTTTAAAATTGCTGAAAATCAATCTATTATCATTTCAGGAAGGGACATGTGTTCAGCAATACTAGCAAATCATGCTCTTAGCTAGAGCCATGCAAATGATTAAGTGTACAAGACACAAAAACCAGTTTATACTCTTTATATAACACATCAATATTATGTATTATATGAAAAAGCAAAGCAGTGAGGTAGGAGTGAGACAACATGCAATGATGCAAACAAGAAGTGAGGTTTGGAGTAGGAAATACAGGGAATCATACAATTCTTATCTTACAAAAAACAAAATAAACCCAAATATTGTGATGATTATTAATTAAATAATGATGTTCTTAACACAGATGCATTTGAAAAATCCAAAGCTGTAACCCTTCGAGTACCATTCTACAACTTCTTTTGATCTAGGTCTTAAGTTGATATTCCTGGTAATAAAAGGGTTAAACGAAGCAGGAAGAAAGCATGATGGTCATTGCTTTTTGGAAAATCACCTTAAAAGCATTGCTTATAGTTTCAAAAGTTTATAAACGACAGAGAATTTTAACCTTTGTACGAGTTTCAGATGTTAGATGCAAAAACAGAAAAAAATAAATGACACTTTGTAATCTTCTCACATACAGGGTGTTCGAGTTAAAGCAGATATGAAATGGTATTTTTAACATAAAGGAATCAATATAATTTTTTGATGAATGTATTTGGACAGTTTTTCTCATCAGAAGTGTGAAAATTATTTCACTCTAATGATCGTTATAGCTGCTTAATAAGCAATATTCGAATTGGTTGTGACGTTATTGGCCCCCACGTGATCTCTCACTGGTCCTCACGTGGCCCGTTTTGGTCCATTAGATCATGACATCATTATGCCAAAATGTTCTGTTATTTGCTTACACAACAATCCTATGGTTGCCGTGACGTTGTGATTACTAAGGAACCAATAAACCAAAGCTATATTTTGTATATGACGTTACTAATCACGTGGGGGCGAATTTGATTGATCAGTTAGTTTTATTTCGTTATCTATGACCGTTAGCAGTTAGCTAACATTTATTTTATAATGGCTATCGCAAGCACTCTACGTTGAGCTTACAATGGAGAAAACTGCATTTTTGTAGCTGCAAGTTGAGAAAAGCTATTTCAGTTGTCCTTTAAGCAATGACCATCGCTGTGTTTAATATATGGAATATGATCCCGATACCTGTTGGTTGAACTGACTGACCCAGTTCGTTGTACTAAATTCACTCCATGCGCTGAACTGAGTGAATTAGTCCTATGTATTGAGCTGGACCTATGGACAGAATTAGGTCGCTGTGGAGGGGAAACTGCTGAATTTGGTCGCCGAATTAGCCCACTGACTGAGTGTGCCCGCTGGGTAGGGTTTGCATTATTAACGGCAAGGAAAGCTTGTTTCTCATTGTTGAATACATTGTCAAGATCATCATCTGTGGTTATTTCATCAACTGCACTGCATTCGCTGTATGAAATGTAAGCAACATTGAAGGCCATGCTAGGAGGCACACCACACAACCAGACATGCAATAGTCCAACAATACAGGGGTCCATTTCGAGTAAATGTTGGTCTGTGTCGAGATGTTTTTTGAGTTTGTTGATAAATATGAACTAGAACGGAAATGGACCCCTAAATATTGGAAAAAACAGTTGCACTTAACTCAAAGGGGAAGAAATGCATTCAAGGATCAAAAATAAAAACCACAACCGATGAATATATTCTTAAATAAATCTAAATATAATGGGTAATTGTAAATAAGGGAACTTAATAAAAATGCACAATCAATCAACATGTACAACATGCACAATCAATCAACATGTACAACATGCACAATCAATCAACATGTGCAACATGCACAATCAATCCAAAACATGTGTTTCAAACAAATCACAAAGAATATCACATTTTAAATTTTATAGAATCCAGCATTAGAAAAATTTCACTGGTTAATTTCCAAAATGTCTTGAAAGTTTCATTTTATTCAAAGAATTCTAAATCTTGCTGAAACTTGGGATGCATCTTGAACATTCAACTATCCTTCATATTGTACAAAATATCTTAATAATGTGTAACATATCATTGAGAATATCAGACTATGATATCAAAAGAATGTATATAGATTTCGTTGAAATTCAAGCATCGATTTCAAACTTTTTGAAGAACCCTACATATTAACCAGTGTAAAGGTCACATTTTTATGAAAATTGATAGTCATTTTTAAATGAGTGGCCATATTGAAAATGCCTCCTTTAGTAGAGGTCCTTTGCCCATAAGTTCATAAATGGGATTATTAAGTAAAACCCTATACCTAGTTTGTTCATCGTCATCTTCATCTTCCTCATCATCATCATCCACCAGTAACACAATCTGATTGGTATTGGTGCCTGAAAAACAAAATATAAGAGGATTAGTATGTACAGCTATAACAAGGCATTAACATTCAAAATTTCACCACCTGCCATTTGTTACAGATGTTGAATGCCACCCGTCAACCACTGAATGTTGAACACCAATGCTGGTCGTCACTGTAATAGAGAAAGTGGGCAATAGGGGCTTGTATAGCTCGCCTACTTTTTATTGACTCAATGACATTGTTAGGAATGTAACACGAAAGCTGTTTTATAGAGGTGTCACGGTCCAAAGAATTTAGGAATCGGACAGAACAGTACTTTATGTATGGCCCACCTCAATACCAACCCTTCCTACTGTTTCATAGTTGATGAACTTGGTTGTTATACATTAATTAAATATAATGCAATACTAGTCTTGAACTTAAAAACATGTACAATACCACAGAATACACTAACAATTCATATTAATGTCACAGTACAACTATTGTAAAACAATATTGCCAATACATAATTTTCACTTTCCAACTGTTAAAACCCCTCACCTTTTTTCATATCTTCTTCTGCCTTGGCTTTTAAAATATTACACTTCATGTCAATGTTCTGTGCCCCACCAGCAAACTTTATCTGGTTGTTCTGGAAACTGTTAACATCTTTTGTTTTTGGCTTGGCCTTTACAATATTTGGGTCATCAAGGCCTTTCAGTCGAGCTTGAGCAGCTTCTGATGCCTCTGTAAAAGATTGGACATACATATAATTCATGAAGATTTTTTTTTTGTCTTGTTACGAGCACCATTTTTGTGATCATAGATTGACTTTGTTTAAAACCCTTTTCGATGTGAAAAAAGTAATTAAAGCATTGGGAGTCAATAAACCATGGGTAATTGAATTCACTCTTCTGTGACTGCTAACCTTGTAACATGGTCTGGCAGGAAGGCTCACGTACAAGAACTCATTCATTAAATCCCAATTCTGTGCCGAGTCCTGTGAAGTAAATACCTACCTAAAATACTAGTACTTGGTGCATCTTTTCCATAACCCTTAGCACCAGCACCACTGCTTGTGGACCCCTTAGATGATCTTGCTCCACTAGTAGAAGGGGTCTCTGACTTGACACTAGTGACACCTGGCGAGCGTAAACTTGATCCTGAATGGGCAGATCCAGTAGATGACACTGAGGTTCTATTTTTAGGGGATAAAGCATTTGGAGATTTGATAAGTTCATCGAGGCGATCCATGGCCGAAGTGGCCGTTGTGTTAATGGTGAGGTTGCCATTACTGACAGGCGTTACCTCAGCAACACTACTGACTGATGTTGTCTTTGTTGTAGCAACTGTTGTGACATCATTACTTGAAGCAACCCTGAAATAATCAAATCATAAGTCTTGAAAGACAAACTAGAAATGCAATGGCGCGAAAAATTCTAACTGGGAGAATATGTTTTACATGTATTAAGATTTATAAGATCTGAAAACTATACATAGGGCACAGAGATATCTAAATAATAGACATGTCATTCATTGAGGATCATGGGATCAAGGCCTCCTGGGAGTGATTATCTTTTACACATCAGAGGTACAGAATTTATTTTCTGCTTCCCAAAAGTGCCAACATCTTACTGTGCAACTGTTGTAGTGGGGGTGGTAGGGTGTTCAGCTTCTTGGCTGGCCTCTCGTTTTTCTCGCTCCATCTTCTCAAATGTTGGTCGCCGTGAGTAGCGCTGACTGGGGCGTCGTTCAAATCGAACACTCCGCCGTGACTTGTATGTGTATGTTTTTTGAAATTCTGTCTTTTCACTACAAAGTAAGACAAACATTTTTTTAAATATAGGGAACAATACACTTTGCAAATTAAAAAAGTAATGTTTTAACCAACAATTACAGTTAATGAAAAGATTTACAGTATTGCATCTAAAAATTCTGAAATATATTATCCATTTAACTACTACTAGATACAATCGAACCGTGAAGTACTACCAGATCAGGGAGTCATAAAAAATTTGAAACTCCAGGTCAAAACTGAATTATTGACTTAATAATTACAGCTGTGGTTGCTATTTTCTCATTCAACCTAAAACAGTCCAAAATGTACCTGTCACCAGGCCTCTGTTGATCAACACAATCTACACAAAACTTACTCAAATCTAACACTCTACAAAAAAACTTACTCAAATCTAAACCGAGAGCCGAGTCTGAAGAATCCCTGTCTGGCAGTAGGGGTCTTGTGTGGCGTTTTAAGTCGGAAGAATGCGTGATGTGACACTGCGCACTTCCATAAGTGTTTACAAGCCTTATGATGAGCCAATCGAAAGACAAATGTGTGCTCTTGTTCCCGTCCACTCTCGTCATCCTCAACTACGACAAGGATTAACTTTTTCTTTTTAAAATCAAGTCTGGCTATTTTTGGCCTGAAAAATACAAGTAATGCAAGTACTCCACTTATCTCATAGTTAATCTTTGGCCTGAAAAATAAATACTTTACATACAATTGTGTTATAAACACATGATTATAATAAAGGGGGGGGACACTGTTAGTGACTATCATGTATCAGTTAACATTAACCTCTTGAATCTCAGGCTCTAAAATCGGTTGAAACCAGAGAATTTTTCATTTTTGCCATCTTTTGAGATTTTAGTACACAACTTTAGATGCTCATTTTAGTAAAATCAGATGGCAGATATCATTTCTACACATTTTAAAACAATTTTCGTGTAAATTGGTTGAAAATTGTTCAAATATTAGCAATTTTAGTGAAAATTTTGGTGACGGATTTTCTCGTCACCCTGGGTTTCAAGATCATTTCTGAGATGACGAGAAATTTCGTCACTCCAGGTAGTCAAGAGGTTAAATCAATTTGATTTGCTCTCTTTGAATTTGCAACAATGGAAGTTAAAATATTATGTAATGAATACAATAATTGATATACACTGTAGTTTGAAAAGTATTTAAAAGATGGTCCTTTGGACATCGATTCTTGTAAATCAAGTAAAAAGTAATCATATAACCTTGACAATTATACTTACCAGAAAAATAGTCCTATTTTAGACTGATCTTCATAAACTAAAATACCAGTTGGAGTAAGCCCAAGGCCATATTCATTTTGATCCCGTCCCTGGAAAAGAATTCATACAAATTTTCATAAAACTCATGTACAAACATTCTGTATACACATAATGGCCTCACTGTACTAGCCAAAACTACTTCATGAACGCATAGTTCTTTATAGAGAGGGGTTCATCAATTTAAGTTAATGGAACTGTCCCATAATCATAAGTAAAACCATATAAATATAGTACACAAGTGCATTTCAGTAGTTTCAATAATTCAATCGTGATATTTCTTATAATTTTACACAATCAACCACGTCATAGGGACTTACCATGACACAATGCATATCTATCCCATAATTTTCTAGCCATTTTGCTTTATTTAAATATGCCAGTTCAGCTTGGGCTGGATTTTTCATTTTGCCTTTCATAGCTTTAAAAGCTTCAAATATTGCAAGCTCCATCTCTTCAGTTTGTTTTGGCTCAGGGACGAATCTAAATTCACTGATATAGGCAGGTGTGTGGACACTTTCGTCATAATCACCAAGTTCAGCTGGAAATAGATAAGTACATTTATATTACACCAGTGATATCCAGTATATAAACTGGTAAATAGAATGACAACAGATATGATATTTTCAATAATCGGAGAAAGATGTTTTTTACTGTTCAAAATGAGCTAACTAGCATAGAGAAGTATAGATAGGAATATATGTTCAATAAATTCCTTGCACAAAATAATTAACATTCATTTTACATTGCAAGGCTGAGGATGAATTGTACAATGACAAGTTAATAAGGGATAAAGCTTCACTTACATTGCAAGGCAAGGGCTGCCAACTCTACTGCAATGTCATCTGGACATTCTAACTTCCCAGTGAGGATGTCTTGCTTCAGCTGAAGGAAGAACTGGTACCTAAAACAAGCCACAGCAATGTGTCATTTAAATGTACTTGTCTCTTAACATATACATATAACAGGAATTAATCCAATGCGGCATTTTAATACACTAATCACAATCACATTAACATGTATATACTCTAAATACAAGAGGAGGACAGTAATTTAAACTTTTTACAGGTATAGAGTCATAACATTTGTAAAAGGCATTGCATATACTATCATCATACTGAACAAAACAGTATTAAAAGGGAAGCAATTATAGGAATACAATTACTGTACAAAGGACTATGATTCAGAGTCAACAGCTTTCTTGTCAGTGTGACTTCAGCAATCAGCAGATACCTGGATGCATTGATTATAAATATTTCCATCATGTGTATATCACGATCTTCCACAAGCGATCAATGTTCAAGATACATCAGGCCAGACAATTGTGCGAAGGAGTTTTTGATATTATACTTTTGATATACAAACACTTCGGAATACCAACACTTCTGAATATGAACACCTTTAACAACTCCTAGCAGTGTTCTCTCAGTTTAATCCTAATACTATTTGTCATCTGTACTTGAACCTTAAGAGCTAACTAATTTAAACCTAATGCCCAGGGTTCTACTTCTCTGAGCCGTATCAATAATTTCAAATACAAGATGAAGCCCTCTTTTAAAGCAGTAACATCAAATGAATATTAAGAATTTTGCAAAATCTTAAAAAGTGGAAAGATTTTATGGGATTGTATAGGTTATGTGATGTGAGAATATGAGTTGGCAGGCTTTTTCAAAACATGGTTTATACGCAAGTTCAAATACCGCATCAGTATGATATCTTTACTTCAAATTGGCAAAACATAACATATTTTAAAATCGTGGAAGTCAAATAAACGTATGTGATTAATGGTAAATATCAAAAGTTGAGGCATTAATATAAATATACCCAGGCATATTGCATTAAAACATGCAATCAAAATATCAACACATATTATTGTGAACTATGAAGGTCATATCACTTATTAGAGAAAACTGAGAAAAACGGAAAATTTTGGTTCATTACTCAACCTTTTGGTTAAGACCATATAAAGCTAAAAACCTGACTATATAAATGAACTCCTTTCTAAAGCACATATCTTAAAATGTGAAGTGTTATGTTTTAATCTAGCATTATTGCTGTATTTCATGTACTGATTTGTATGCTTCTCCAGCCTCATCTTGACATTGGCACCTCTAAAGTTGAACATTTTATCTACCAGAAGTATTCACAATGGCCTTATATTGCCCCCCTCCTCTACCATTCATACAGGTGGGTATGTGGAGTACACTTTAGGGATCATAGTCTTGTTTCAAGACCCTAGACCCCCCCCCCTTATCTACTTTACAACCTCTTGTTAAAGTAGATAGGGTGAGGGGGTCCAAGGTCTTGAAGCAAGATAATGGGGATCAATACAAGACTTATTTGCACAACAGGTTTTACTCTTTATAAACTCTTATCTCAAATTGCTGACTGAGTTCAACTTGTAACAAGAAACGGAACAACAGCCACGAATGTGTATGTATGCATACATCAATGATTAAAAAAACAAATGTTCTTGTTTATCACCTGTCAATTCTGACAAATTCAATCCAGTCACCTGGGAAGTTACATGATATATTTGTGGGCTGATTTTTACAGTAAGTAGGCATCGAGAAATACCTAGTTATGCTCATGACCTGATTTGTACCAAAGAAATGCAACTAGAAATGCCAGCAGTTACAAAAATTAGAATTTATGAAAGAATACGCATTTAGTTATTATCTTTGGAATTTTTCAAGTTAATTATGGATGTATATAGACTTGCTAATCAATGCGAGGCAGCATCAGTTTTAAGCATAAAATGTTAAGCTCAGTATACAAGTGAAGATTTCAGATAGACATTAATATTGCAAAATGATCAAATATTACGCTCATCATTTCATCGTAAACATAAGAACTCAACACAGATATCAGAAACATCAAGGCACTTTCAGAATTTTTACTGCCTGGTATTTTTAACCCTGATAATATTCAACAACTACCCATACTTCCCTCTTAAAATGATATTACCCAATTTTGAACCTGGAGGATCTTGATGACCTTAAATGGATCATTCATAGTATCTATTGAGTTTTAAAGGGTCTTGGCTATTGTAAAAGCATACAATGCGTTAACATGACAAAAAGTTATTGCAAGTTGTAAGAATTTGTGACAGATTCCAACCTTTAATCACCAACCACCGAACACAGTCCATAATAACAATTTGTCATCACAACTGTTGAAAATGAAGCATGAACATGAAAATGAAGCATCTAGATTTTTTGACTGGATATTAGCCAGATACTATTTCTCATTCAAAAAGTTTAGACAAGTCTGAGCTCCTGGAAAGGGTAAAAGTTTTATAATATATATGAGAGATATAGGAGTGCAAGAGTTGCTTAGTAACTAGAAGATTTGGAAAATCTCCTCTTAGGTTGTAATTAATATTTTCTAGTAAAACAAAAAATTGTTTTGGTAAATAGCTTTGGGAGCCTACTTCAAACTGCCCCAGTTATTCAGTTTTAATTTTCCACTCTACTAAATCAAGAAAAAGAGGCCAATAATCATATACTGTAAATCAATTGTGTGTAGTTCATATTTTCAACCAATATCTATATTATGACGTTTGATGACAAAAAAGAATAAGCTAATTAGAGGTAAGAGATTGTATGTTATACAAATAATGAAAAGATAATTCTCAACTATTATTCATGTTCTTTTTTACATGCTCAAATCCTATGTTTCATCGAAATCAAAGGCCATCTCAGTACATTGACTGATCAATTAATTCTTCAAAGAACTTCCTTTTGGATTTCTTTTCACAAGAAAACAATGGGATGTGCGTTTGTGATCTCGAAACCTAATTTGAAAGTCTCCGTTTGAACTTCAAACATGACAAATACAAATTACTATTGTTTTCATTTTCAATGATTTCTATACAAAAATGACAAAAAACAAATACAGTTCAAATGAGGGAATGTTTTAAGTGAGTGAGCATTAACATGCAATTTGGTATACATGTACAATGAAACCTGTACAATTGAACACCTCTCTAATCCAAATACCTAGATATGTGAACACTTTTTCTCGATCTCCAATTGTTATCTCATAGTGACTTACATATTTTGAAAACCTTAAAATGTGAACATCTGTTAATATGAACAATTTTAGCCAGTCCTAGTAGTGTTCAAATTTGACAGGCTTTGCTGTATTTTTATTTGTTGGTCACTCAGATGAACTGAATAGCAATAATGATGGGTGATTATCGATATTTTAATCAATCTAGATTATGTTTATGCGGCATGGTCATTATTGTTTACTGTCAGGTCATGGTCTTTTACTTTAACATGAATATCTACAGGGTGGGCCGAAAATATCCCAGAATAAATATTGTAATCTTGGAAACAATTAATTGAATGCTGTAATTTTTGTAACAATAGTATAACTAAGTCCTGCATGACTTATCGAAGAGCAAAAAAAAAATTGGAACTTTCTTGGCCCACCCTTTATATTTGTGTTTCAGAATTTACATGCTCGAAATCAAGCCAGAAACTTAACATTGTATCTGCATTATCGTATGATCTGTAAAATGAAGCCCTCTGATTGGTCAATTCTTGCTACCGAGATTGAGGTTGTACGGAGGGGACAATCTCAGAAGCAATACAGAGAATACAGAATATTTCCTCGGAACTATCTCTCAAGTAAAATATATTATTGGAATAAGATCACGATAAAAACATTATAGAATGATTTGAAGTGCAATACAGGATATATTCTGCTCTTGGTATTCTATATAAGTACTCGACTTTGTCTCATCCAATACAGAATTTCTCGAGCAGAATATATCCTGTATTGATCATCAAATCATTCAATAACTTATAGCATTTTTGCATCCAAAAATATAACAATGTTGCTTAAGACTTTATTTTGGCAACTTCATTTTTGTATAATCTTTAATCTCAATAGGTGTGTTACCCAGATTTTCATAACATAACCTGTATACGAATAAACAATGTTATTAACAACCTAACCCTAAGTATAAAGCCAACTAGATGCATTACACCTGAATTAAATGAGGAATCTTAATTGATTAACAAGGTATGACCAGGTATGTACCTGTGTATACCTGTAGGGTAATGTATTTTGCAGAGTTCAGCTTAAACTCAGCATGCCCCTGGCCGAAAATTCTTTCAAAATTATGCAATTTTACACCATTCTGAGCACTTTTCAAGTCATTTTTGACATTTTTAGGCCAAAGTCAAAAGAGAACCCCTCTGGAATTTTTTAAAAAGTGAACCCCCCTTGGCAAATCCTGCCTACGGGCCTGAACTCAGGATGTTTTCCTGCACTTTTATATTAGCACTAAACCATTCAACTTTCTTCAATTAGATGAAGATGTGAGATCAGGATGCATGGTACACTCTACTATCACGAATCTTTAGCATACCTGCTGGTTTTGATGATTAGCTTAATTGGTTCAGCTGAATTATAGGAATGTTTTTATGTGTTTACCAAATGTTGCCCTTTTTGTTGTTCGATCCTGCTTCTGCTAGATCCAAATAGTATGAATATGATCTTTGGTAAAAATGTTTTTTGTTTGTTTAACATTTTAATAAATGACCTGTATGATATACATTTAAAACACTGAACTTATTTCAGCCAACTGGTTAGGTCAAATCAAGCTCTCTAGCAAACCTCATCACAGACACAACATATACTACAAATACTGAATAGCCACATTCAAAAAATTAAGTTATATTTCATGACATTTTCCAAAATGAATATTTTCAGCATACCCTTTATCATACATTTCATGAATGACACATTATATGAAAGATAGTCTTGTATTAAGCCCTCAACCCTCCATTTTATTTGTCTTACACAGATATTGGGGTGGAGCATGATGCTTTATATAAGACTAATGTATATTATTAAGAGACTTGTAACATACCTTGTCAGTTCTTCCCGAAGATTATTTGGCTCTGAGGAATAAAATCGCACCTTTAGTCTAAATGTATATGGTGGACCAACTGAAAATAGAGAAAAAATATGTCAATAATTTATCAGACTAAACGTACAGAATGGGCAAACTAGAAATAAGGAAATATACATGATAGTATGATATAGTTAGATGCATAGTAGACAAAGAGGAAGGAAAGGATACTGGTACATACACGATTGCAATGTCTATTTCTTATATACCTGAACCATATCATACTTTATATAGATAAAGATTTTTTATGGTTTAAAAAGTATTCATGGCTGGGGTGCTTCTCCTTTAGGAAACATAGAAATATTGTTGATGTAGCAATTTCATATGAGATACATCATGGTCTGTTACCAAACAACTAAAGTCTCAGTCACATTTGCTTTAGGCAGCCATACAGCACCCGTAGCTTCACAAAATCGATATAGAAAACCTACATTGTACTGCTTATCTCTATATTTCTGCATATTTCTCTCGATTTTGGGAAGCTACAGCTGCCGTACAGTTGTCTTAGATCAAATGTGACAAAGGACTTTAAATGTAGCAATGTCTGATGTTTGAAATATACAAGTTATATTTGAATGAATTTCAAAGGGGATGCCAAGAGGCTATGTAGTATGATTCAATGCGAAATTAGTTTTATTGAAATGTCTCCAATTTTTATTTTTGTTTTGGCTAACAAAAATACCAGTAATAGTACATGTGTTTGATACCATTCTAAAATATGCAAGCCATGTACATACCAAGTATAAACAGGACCTTGTTGACATTTTAATCTATTTACTATAATATGAGTGAACAAGGGTTTTCTGGTGTGTTTAAACTTAGCCTGGTGTTTAACTATTTTTTCAGGTTTTTAGAGTACTTTACATTCATTGAGTAATATTTGAAGTCAATGTAACACAAATAGAAAGACATGAAAATAAACACAGATGGAGAACAGAAGTCACATACCAAGCCATACCACATCCCGGCTCATATTATGTAGCTCTGGAGGGGTTTATTCACTGGGTCAGAGCGACTTACATGTATATAGTATAACCTGTCTTAATTGTGAGAATGAGTAAAATTGGCCAAGCATTCATATAAAGTGGTGTTACCCCTCACTCATTCAGTTGAAGACCAGCTCACGAATTTGTAAATATTTCTATGTTGTGTTAAGACTGAATATTGTCAAAGGGTTTATCATACCTTCAAAGTACTCAACTTAAAGTTAACTGAAACGTTAAGGTTTTCCTGTACTTCAACTAAAATGTAGACACCACAAGATACAGAACAACTGTCCACATAAAACAAGCCAACATTTGACATATATGGCTACCTCTCTGTTAGAAGGTGTTAAACTCATAAATCCAGCAGCAGGAAATTGATGGAATGACCCACAAATCCTCATAGAACTAAAAAGAAATGAATGAAAAAATGAAGTATGAAAAAACAACTATGAATCCAAAATATTGATGAAATGATGATAAACCTCAAAAATCTGTCTATGTGTAAAACCCAGTCAGTTTTCTACATTACGACCTGGATACGTGCAACATAATAAACTGTCTAATAAATGTTACATTTTTTACTCAAAATGTCAAACAAAATAAGCATCTGCTTTTCTGGAACTACAACCATTAATAGTTATTTTAACTTGTAAAATCATCAAATATACTTTGTACAAGGACTTATTTCTCGTAGATAAATAAAACCCTATTATATTACATACAACATAAAATGAAATCCTTTAATTCCAATCTGATATCATTAATATAACCTACTGATCTTCATATACATATCTTACCCTACCATCACACCAAACTAGTTCTCACTACGTTCTCGAAAACGGGCTTCAACTGTGTACGAACGGACTGGACGTACTAAGAACCGTTTGGGATCTATTTACAAACTTCATCGAACGTACTCGAACGGGTAGGTCCTCTAGAACTTAGACAATGCTCAAAATGTTTTCGTGGTCGTCACGTTCTACAATTAGAACGAGTGACAACGTACTAATGACGAGCTGGACGTACTACGAACGGAACCGTCGTACTTCAATCCTACTAGGGACATTTTAACAACGAGTGGAACTGTCTGAGGACGTGTTGAGAACGAGGTAGAACTCATTGCAAACGGGTTTAAACTGATTGAGAACGTATTTAACACTGCTTATGAACGAGTTAGCAAAAATATAGCTATCACACAAAACAAGTTGCCACTGTGTTCTTCAAAACTGGTCCTAAAATGTGTGCGAACGGAATGAACGTAGCTGCAACTTTCTAAGGTCTATTTACGAACTTTATGAACGTTCTCAGACGGGAATGTGATTTTAGAATTTTGAATCGATTCAAAATTCGATTGCGACCATACCGTTCTGTTATCAGGTCATGATGACCTTCTAGACTAAGGGACGCGTTCTATGGCGTTGCACACCGACGTGGTGCGACCTGAACGAACTGCGAACGAGATGGACGTATTGAAGACTGTTTAAGAACGAAGAAGCTAATTATTTCAGACATATTTCCCGACCACAGCCAGTTTGAGCCCGTTTTACGACGTTTTTGTAGGACTGGCAAGAACGGGTAAGAACGAGTTTGGTGTGATAGGGGGGTAAACAGGAAAATGGTAAATTGATTTGAAAAATGAGCCAATGATGAAACTGAACCAAATGAATTATTAAACCACATGAGCAGGGAGCAAACATATATGCATATTCCACAAATCACAACTAGGGCCTTAACATTAATCTTAATTATCAAACCCTCTGGGTGTAGCAGGAAAACAAATCTTAGAACTTACCAAAATATCTCATTGAGTCACTCCAAATATATTTCAATTAAAAGCGTGTTAGTAATTGAACAGGATAAGAGTAAGTAGAAACATATAAAAGAGGTACTAGGTTCTATAAGCAAACAAACCTGGCCATTTTTTGTACTCAGTTACAATCTCTCAGTTAAAAAGTTACCCTTAGATTCAAGCTAGGTATATACACTGGGGTAAAGCAGACCCGATGATGCAATGAGCTTGCTCGGCGGTATCATGACTGTGTAACGGGTCTTAATGTATAAGTGTGCTCGGCGGTAGGTTCAAACAACGCGGATCCTCAAAGCATGTGCTCATGGTATATTCGTGTTTTAACACCCGTGTATATACCTGTATACTGAGCTGTTTTTTGATCCCCTGTGCATTTCAATGGGAGAAAAGGCCACTGAATATTTTTGTCTTGAATCTGCTTTGTTATTTTGAAAATTTAAGATGCATTTGCTGCAGGTATTCATTGTGGAACAAGGCATTACGATGCAAAATGTCACCACCTGCCATTTGTTACACAAACCAAACTTTGAACACAAACCACCAAAATCTGAACACTAACTGACGAACACCATCCACATACAATTTGAAGACTATAGCAATATGTCAAAATAATAACACAGAGAATGCCAGTATTCATACCTAAATTAAACCAAGTATAACCGAACACATTATGATTTCAGTGAAATTCCTCCATATTACGAATGAAATTTCTGCATTTCGGTTAATTAGAACAAGGTTATGTGTACATGTAAGCAGACACCAAACAGCTGATAAATGATGAAGTAACTATGAACAAGGCCTGATAACCTTTGAACATTGGAACATAAACATATCTCAGCTGCAACTCAGATTGCTTCAACTAACTGCTCATGCATTTTATGTCTAAAACCTGAGATCTGTAACATGACTTGAGGATTATACATTTCAGTGGTCATGCAGCCGTTCCAAGATTTACCTCTCCAATGCTTTACTCGCATATAACAGGTTTTATTGTTTACAACATATTTTATTCAGAAGTAGAACTGGGACTGTGTATTCGTACGATCCATGATCCGATCCGGATAAATTTCGTCATAGCAATGATGCATTGTGGGATTAATCTTGGAATTTATCCGAACATTGGTGAATTCTTTGGATTCTTTAGGATTTTTATCTAAATCTCAATCAACTTATGAAGGTAGATTTCTAAATCTCAATCAACTTATGAAGGTAGATTAATTTTTGGATAAACTAAATTCAAATTCCAATGTAATCTTGGGGATTCACCCAAAATCCTTGAATACGAATTCACCAATTCACAGCCCCTGAGGATTGACGATAGGGATCCAAAAAAATAATTTCCTAATAAACCCTTCCTGTGCTTACATTAGAAAAAATCTGACTTGCTTTTGAAAATATTGCCCTATTCGCAAAAATAGACATTATTTATACCTAGACTTAGGCATAATAATAAAAAGGACATCGTTCTCTATTTTTGAAGCTGAGACCCAAAAATGAAAACCAAATCTAGGCTAAAAAAATTCACATTGGTGAGGAGGCAGTTCACTGAGTACAGGTGTACCACAATGTTCTAGTATTTTTGGGTAGGTATCTCAAGACTTTGATTTTGCATCTAAGATTCTAGACCAGACTTTATTTTACAGTATAAGGTAAGGTTTCCCAAAATGTAAAGGTCTGCTGCTAATGACCACTCTAGAACAGCAACTACTGCTAAGAGAATGACATCTGATCCTGGGTGTGTAGAGACTTACGCCATATGTGACATAGATGTCGATGTGACTTGTAAACAGATCTAACTACACACAACACTCCCTGTTGTACTTGTCTTTGTACTGTTTCTGCATTGTATACATGACAAGTATATGTAATGTGGGTACACAATGATTTTCAGACAAACTTGTCAGAATTGCATTCCAAATATTCATTTGAGTTCATGCTGGAATGATGATCAGTTGCGTTACATTCTTCTCTTGTATGATTTAAGTCCTCCCTAATAAATAAATAAAGCTTCACAAAGTTAGTTTTGCATCAAGACAGAATATGAGGAACAGATAACAGGGGGAGGGTGGGGAGGCAGTATTTATAGGGTCTTGATGCAAGAGTTTCAACAACAAGAAGTGTGAATCTTATAAACCAGGTGTTACATACAAGTGGCTCATGTCACTTTATCTATTTGTGGTATATTCTTGGTTGACCACTGGAGATAGTCTTATCCAAAATATTTCACGGTGGCCAAAAATTGGTTTACTGTTTGTTTAGCTCTAAAAATGTCCTGAATTAGCTAAAGTCTGTGTAAAATAGACACCCTGAACATCTTCTTCAATATAATAATACTGCATGCCTGGCCATGATTTATTTTGCAGGGCTTTGCAATGAACATAATAGATTACATATAATAATTATAAAGACAATTTATTTAGTTGATACTCTACTGACTGTATTGGTCCATTCAGTTCCATTAATATAAATCACAAGTCACTGAACAAAATATAGCTTTGGAAGTACATAAATCATAATCATTCATCATGAATAATTATACTGACCAACAAGATGACGATACTGTTGTTTTCAAAGGTGTCAATGGCCATAAATCAATCAAATCAACATACATGTATATGATATTTCATGAATGACTGCCAACTCTCAGGAACAAAGAAGTTTGAATCAATTGTTCGATACGTACAAGTCAATTAATAAATCTGTCAAATGTGTGTGGACATTTGGGTGAAAACGACAATACAGTTCTGGAGATCGAAACAGGAACACGTATTAACATGATGCGAGTCTTATACATCATAGGACTTGTGTCCTTTGGATTGACAATGGTGCAGTGCAGGGAGGTGAAAGCAAAGAAACAAAACAAAAGTAAGTGAGAAGCTAGAATCAGATGCTCAAAGGATGATAGAATTGAAAGAAGCATTTTCAAATCAAATTTGACCAAAAAATATGTTCTTCATGCCTCAGTCACATTTGGGCAACCATATGGTGGCCGTCCCTCCCTAAAATCGACATAAATATGCAGCATAAATATAGGTTGGGAGGGGGGTTAACCAGTATGACATAGATTTTCAATACTGATTTTGTTGATTTTCATTCCAGTAAAAAAGGAACTGAATAAGGTTCTAATGGCCTATCAAGCAGCTTGGCTGTTACCAGAATGTGCTACAAAGATGATGCCTAACTGCTCTAAAGCTGCAATGTCATGGTCAAAAACTGCTATACTTGCCGGAGAGGGGTGTCCAACCTGGTATGGCCAATCAGGTCAGTTATGTAAACATGTAAAAATTAACATTCTAGCCAATGGGTTATGTCACACATATGTAAACTGTCTGGTATTTGCTGACAAATATACTAAAATATACATCATGATAAACCATGACATCTCATTTCTTCTCAGTCCTGAGAAACAGAAAGATCACATGAAACCGAAAGATGCTATGAGTATCCAGAATGCAAAATATATATCACAGAAGAATATCAGAGCACAGATTAAATCCAGTGAAATGGTCCAATTCTATAATACTGTCATTTTAGGAATACAACAAATGATAGAATATGAAAAGAAGATGTATCCAGACAGATATTTAACTGTTGAATGGGAACGAGTGACGGGAACTAAGAGTACTGCCTTTGGATTTGGCCTATGTAAGGCAATTCGGAAAAATCCTATGACGGGTATGGAGGAAACTATGCGTCAGTGGAGGTGATTTATTTAAATATAACAAGGCACATAATGAACAACAATGGCCATACCATACTAAAAATGTGTACACTCACATCTGAACAATAATCTCCAGTTTGATGTAAATGCCTTTATTATGATTTGGCTATATTTTAGAATGTTTGCCTACTTTTGCAAAGAAAAGGGAATGTGGAAGATTCAGTACCAGGCAGAACTTAATGTTTTCAATGGTGCACCTATGACAACAATGACTTATGGAATGGAAGGAGACATGGGAGGAATGGGAGGAGGCATGGATGGAGGCATGGAAGGAGGCATGGAAGGATAGAAATAGGGACTGTTACATATTCATATACATGGCATGAGGGACATCAATCTAGCAGGCTATGCAATAAAGTGATATTTTAAGCCTCAAAGAGTTTTGAAGTTCCACTTTATAAGTTCCATAGTGAAGCGCGCTATTCAATGAACCTCACATGCCTTTTGCATAGAAAGTACACTCCCCTCAAAAGATTTGGCAATCCTGACTCTACTTCAAATAACCCTCTAACACCTATATTATATTTAGAATACTTACAGATATTAACGTTGGCACAAAGTGCTAGAAATTCAGCATGTACTGCTTGGCTGGCCATTTACTTTAATTTACATAAACCTGGTCTGAGCCTTAAATCAAACAACTATTCTTCTTTAAATTGAAGAAATAACAATTTTCTAAAATCGTCAACATCCATATATAAAAATTTAAGTCATTTCAATATTATTTCATTAGTTAGAATAAGAACATTTTTAGTCTAGACTTTACAACTCTAAATTCTGACCATATGTGCCAATAGTGCCGTCCCAGTGATCTCCCAGCAAGCAAGTGGGCGCAGCACCCAACTGAGATTTTAGTAACAGGCTTGCACCCACCTGAAAATCCATTTGCACCCACTTGAAAATGAGAAAAACATGAAAAATAGGCATATTTTGACCAATTTTGGTCTGAATTGTGACAACGAGAATTTTGCACCCAATTGAGAAAAAATCCTGTAGAGAACAATGCGTCCTATATGAAAGATCTGTGTTGGTTGCTCATTGAAACAATTCCCTGATCTGACCAATACAGTGAAAGAATCTCTGTTAGCCATTAATTAGGAGTCCATGTACGTCAACACACCATAAACAACAACTCTGAATCATTCCAACTGACCCTGAGATGTAAACATTGAGGCTATTCTTTGAATGTTCAAAATAAAAAGCAACACATCTGCTGATAATCGTTCATAGACCTCCCATAATCTTATGTTATAGCATTTTGTGAGACATACATATGGGATGATAAAATAACACAAGTGGTACAATCAAATAACACAACCAAATGCCACAGAAAAAGCCAGTGATGCAAGTATAGTAAAACCCATAGGCCAAGGGAAAAGTATTAGTAGGCTGAATATAGAGGAAACTATATTGAGCTCAAAAGTAACCTGCTCATCTAAATAAGACTGGGTTTGACCAAAATTGTTTGGAATAGGGGGTGTTTCTATTTCAAAGTTTTTTAATGAAGGACCCAATTACAAATGGCACAACTAAGATAAACGACAGATCATCATCATAAATGGTAAAATGAATGACAAAAGCAGTTATAGGTTATTGTTATTTATTTCTATAATATTCAACATAATTATTTACATAGATTGTGAGGGGCCGAGGCTATACATAGCATTATTGGCCCCCCTCTAGAAAGTTAAAAACATATAATAAATCACTGGAGTGTGTAGGATTGCAACGGACAGACGGTCGTCCACCAGGTCTTGCCCATGATGATATATATGAGTGTTAATGAGAGATGATGTGAAATGAGGAGGATGGTCATTCTAAGATGTTATCGATATAATTTGAAGATAGTTGAAGGCATTTTGTATTCAGTTCACTATTTAAATTTTCATCTCCATAAAGTATAAATTCTATTTTTTGCTTTCTGGTTTTTCCAAAATAGCACATAATATCAAGATTGTCTAACTTTAGGATGTTCTGTATGTAATCATTTCTAAGTATGGCAGTTAGAGGGCAGTCGAGTAAAAGATGAATCTTATCTTGATTTCGGTGGCCGCAGGGGCAAGAAGGATCTATGATGTTGTTGAAATTATGTCTAAAAAAGTCACTTTTAAGGGCAAGGTCGCTTCTTATTTTATTAAGTTTAGTTTCAGAAGACCTTTTCAAATTAAGATTTTTTGTTAAAATATTCTTTTTATGAAATGTATATTTCTTATTATAGTTTTTCTTGAAGATTGCTAGGGTTGGCGATGTTTTTATTTCAGTTGAAAGATTTTTCCAAATGGAGATAGGCTTTATGGCTGGTGAATTTAGGTATTTCACAGACGCTCTCACTGGTAAAACATATTCTCTTCTGGAGCGGAGCTCCCTTTCGACACCAGGATTGGACAGTTTTTCATATATAGAGACTACATAAGAGGGGGTCAAATTTGATCGGACTTTGAAATAAGCAGTTTATATATACACTCAAAATAAAAACCACATGTAATAGGTACATATGATCAAAGGATACAAACATGCCAGCACCCAAAGCAAACAACTTGACCACTGGATTCATCAATTGAATACAGAAAAGAAGAGTTCTGGTCCCACATGTTATCAATACCTTAACACACATCAAAGCTGAACACATGTTCTACACTTTGTAATATACTTTCACGAAAATATGGTTCAAATCCTGACCATTTCTTCCAATTGGCTCAAATTGGTATAGAAAACATATGGGTAAACACCTCTTGTGTTCTTGTCCCTGGTCAACCAGTTCATACACCTTTAGGCCACCTAGACCAGAGAAACATATGTAATGAGAATAAATGGTCTCCTCTACTAATCAAATGACCAATTAACAGGAGAAAATGATGGATGACTTACACTGTACCCCATGAAACATTCACTTTAGTACATCCTGAAATTTGAGAAATTGCCACTATGGTACTTTTACATGAAAAAGTCTAACAGATGCTGTCAGCATTTGATAACTCAGGAGTAGTTGATATGACTTAATTTTCAAAATCTTTTAATATGTTTTTTGGAATACTTCTTGTATTAAGACTCTGTAGTACCCATATCCCCCTCTCTCTATTAGATAAGACGAGGGGGGTACAAGACTAAACATATTCTACCATAGAACTCCATGCTTTCTCCAGCATTTGAGAGACTGGGTACTGGAGTTAAACAAGGAGACTTTATAACCTTATTTCTTTCATTTAGCTAGCTCTTAGCAGCAGTAAATTCCCACATCCATCAGAACATTTCAGCTCAAAAGGTAAAGCTTGACATAACACGACTAGAAAATACATGAGAAGGGTCAGAGGTTTCTAAGGATGATAAGACCTTCTGATACTTTTGAGGTCTTGGAAGTGACATTCATGTGCAAAATGAAATGGAGAAACAAAGCGTCCTCAGATATACAAATATATTTACCCTTGAAGTAAGTACTAATTCATTAATGGAACAAGATGAACAGATAAGTGGCTTTCCTGGAATTTCAATGACAGGTTTTTTTGTGGACCAGCCCAAAGAGACATACAGCCGTACACACACAGCCGAACATTTACAGTGCTATATTATAGTGGCAATAGATTCATTTGACATGCAGAACTTATCAAGGTATCTTTGGCCATGAATGCAAGCTGTATAAATCATGAATGAACCCATGAATATAGATGATCACCTATAATAAAATAAAAAAATAAAAAGCCATTTGAGAGAAAGCTTAGATGAATCAGACACTCTAGTTTATCCTAGACAACTGCTCATAAATAACATGTGTAACTAGATTGACTTTGAGGCATCATTGTGGTGTCCATGGTAACACTGGTTGTTTCTATGGTTGCTGGTTTTGTTGGTAGGGAGATTGGATTATATTGGTTATCACACTTATTCTTGTGCCAACTTTCAAAGCTGCATTGTGGTAAGCCACAGCACTTTCTATTTTGATGGGGGACTTAGCCCATACCAAGCCACTGCATCCCACAAACTTATCCTGCATGAAGCCCCACCAAAAACCTCATTCAGCATCAACCCCACCCATACTTATCCTGCAAAACCTAGAGGGTGGGGGGGTTGCAGAACATAATTCAATACTAAAGGTTCAGTGCAACAGCAAGTTTGGTAAAAAAAAAACTGAAAACTGTACTGGAGGTATATGTATCTACATTGTAAATATACAAAACTTGGCCATGAACCAACATAAATGTTTCATTTCAACATTTCACTTGTAATCTTGTCTCAGTATTGAGCCCTTTATAAAATACATCTTGCCAGATATCAAACTTATAAAATAAAAGATGCAGAAACGGCATGGTTGAGTCAGTGCAAAGAGAGTTAAGAAAAAATCATCTTAATCAAAATGATGCAGAGGAAAACTTTTGGTCCTGGTTACACCATTTCTAAACAGGACAAGAAATGAATGAAACAAATAAAGAAAACAAATAAAGAAAATATACAATTGAAACTCCTTGTAAAAAAAATGAGACAGCTAGTATGCTCATATCTGATTTCAAATTATAACATAGACAGCCATAGGTACCAACACATTTTTACATATGCATGTACCCTTTACAGTTTGACTTTGTGTACATATCGAAAGAGGATTCAGAACATGTTGCCTTTGATCGCAGGTCTCCTTTTAAAAGTTAAAGCTGGACTTTGCCCCGAAACGCAATCTTGGGTTGTTTCGGGGGTGAACTTTATCATTTTGAGCTTAATGAAAGATTATAGAATGATGAACAAATGGGGCAAATCTTGTGTAGAAATACTTACGATAAATGTGTCATTTCAAAGATTTTACATTGAATTGCTTCGATCGGAGCCGGCAATATGATTTTGGAAAGGGTTTCTAAATGAAGAACGTGACGTCACTTCCGAATCATAGCATTCAAAATAAGTAGCGTTTAATTACTTCCACCATTCATAATAACACGGTGGTCAAGCGGTAGAATGCTCGCTCAGCACGAGGGAGGCCCGGGTTCGAATCCCGCATTTGCCTTTTTATTTTTTTAAACTAAATGATAGTTTTTTAATATTACGCAGAAAAAAACAATTTTTATTTACATTAACTTTATATTAGAGCTTGAAAATGTAAAAACAATATATGTCAACATATTGCATTTTGGAGCGATGTGCAGGTTTAAGCTATCAAATCAGACATCATCGAATTGCCTACACTCCCATGAAAGGCCATTACAGCTACTTCTGGGACCATTGAGATCTCATTATACATTAGCATCAAAACTGTAAAATAGTTATTTTAGTCAGAGGTTGGTTATGAGTACTAATCTCGAGGCCTCTGGGTAAACTGGATAATCTAGGTAGGTCTGTAGTTTATCAATCTGATACACTGGCACAGTTATTTATGTCTTAGTACTTATCAGTGATCAGAACTGTCTTATGAAACATGTTAGTTTCATTTCAAGAAACCACATGAAAAAGTAAAACTGGAACCTGAACTGCCTGAACTGCATAACAGTTTTTGTTAAGGTCTTAGTGAACCTTTGGCTTGTTATTTGTAATGATTTATCTGTTTTGTACTAAGTAGGTATGTATGTATAAAAAGGTCTGCTAACTCCATTCATAAATGAACTTTTGCTTCAAAAAACTTTTCGCATATTAGGTTACATCCAGCACTGTCATAAGTAACAAAAGTTAGGGCATTTTCATTTCTCTTTCAATGTACACATATAAAAATAAACTGCACTTCACATGTTGTATTTTGAGCAATCTATGGTTTAACATGATGCATGAACTATGGACATTCTCCTACATGGGTCAATACAAAAAGTACACCCCTAAACCCACATTCTCCCTTTCCTTGAAAAATCCAAACATCTTGAATTATTAAGATTTATTTCTCCTGGTAAGCAGTACTTAGCCAAAGGTGATATCTTCACTTGCATCCACACCTATATTCAAGAGCCCTACTTCATTAAACACGGATATAAATCAGTTAATCGCTCAATGATTTTACAAAATACATAGCCCTATGGTCACGTTGGAGTATTCTTAACACCTTCAAAGAGCTGTATAGTTTATTTTGGGATATCATGTGTTGGTGTGGGAGTGAAGAAGTTAATTACCATAAAATAAGATTCATTAATTTTCACATAATTCCGACTAATTCTCAATGACTGAGAAGTTGCACAAGACATTACATAGAAACAACACACCCAGAGTCAGAAAAACATTCTATGAGTAGTTGTAAACTATAAACAGAGAAACTTATCCATATTTCATCAACTTTTCAGGAAGGTATAGCATGTTTTCCAGGGAATATATATCCCAGCTGTTCTATATAACACTGGTCAGTAGATCAGTGAAGTACATTCATGGACTAAGAGGCAAAAATATTTACATTCTTCACCCGGATCCTTGGCTCAAATATTGAGTCTGACTATACAGTATACAAACATTTCCTCTGATATTTATATTTTGGTCAAGAATCATACATTCCTGTTATGTCTGATCTCATGAATTCTTACTACTTACATTGATGCAATTGTAGTACAGGTTTGAAACATGAAGAAAAGAAAGAAGTACATACAGTAAAATCTGTCTTAGTGAACATAATTCTCACTTATGAACAACTGTCTTGGTGGACACCCTTCCTTCACATATACAGTAAAACTTGTATATAGTGAACACCAATGGAGCCACAAGAGAGTGTTCACTGTAGGTAGGAGTTCACTACAGAGAGGGATCTTATAAAGGAATCAATGTAAAATGTGTCTTGAAGTGGTGTTTACTGAACACAGGTATTCACTGGAGAGAGGTGTCCACTAAGACAGATTTTACTGTACTCTACTGACTTCTGTATAAATTATCCTCTGTAGTGAACACCTATCAACATTGAACATGTTTCTCAGCAAAAAATGTTCACTTAACTTATACACAGGTTTAACTGTAACTCCATGTAGTATATTAGTCCATTCAAATCAAACAGCAATTAAAAAGTTATTAAAACGTATTATTATATTCCTCAAATGTATTCTAAATGCTCATTGGCTTATTCATGGTCACATGACATGGAATAGATGAACTAATTCCCTGGAAAGTCCTAAATCCCTGCTTTCAGGGAAGATGAATTGTACTAATCACCAGTTAGGTCATGTGACCAGTCAATAGTACATTTTATCTTCCCCCAAATCTGAGATTATAGGAGTTGAAAGGTAAAATGCCTTTAAATGCCAATAAGAACCTGTGAACATTTGATATTGAAATGAAAAGACTTCTCATTTTGTTTTTGTTTACAGAGTACTTATCAGGTATATAATAAAACAAATAGTGACTGCCACATTTTCGGGAAATAGTGTAAAAATTTTCCTCTCGGGAATATCCTGTCCACTGACTTGTTCCCTCGGCCTGCAGCCTCGGGAACATGTCAGTGGACAGGATATTCCCTTGAGGAAAATATTTTGCACTATTTCCCTCAATGGCAGTCACTATTTGTATAATAATAGTTGTACTTACTTGTTACTTGTTTTTTAATTAATTTTGTTCGATCCAACCAATGCTGGAAAATAAAAGATAAACAATATCTTATCAATATTTTCTGATGTAACGAATAATGTATTACCTAAATAGGATTGGACATTACTCACAAGATTTATACAAGGGTTGCTCCAAAATATTTTAGAACATCCTATAGCATCAGCAAATTGAATTTCAAAGAAATGTTTATTTGGGTAACATAAGCCAAAACAAATATTTTGATAAATTGTTGCAAATTTTTTGTTATGAAATATCTAAATTGTTTGTCTTATGAAAAAGAACTGTCATTTCTTGGAAATGCTGGCAGAACTTCAAATATACCACCCAATATTAATTTTCTTCAGTATTTAATATATAACATTTTTTCAATCCATGACATAACATGACATCCCATACCTTTCTTTCCCCAAAGATTTGAGGAAATGAGTAAAAGGTAATGGAAACTCAAAACACCAAGCTCGACGAAACCTGCTGTTATAAAATGAATAGATAGTATAGGGATTTGGTGCAGGACTACATGTAAGAATTAAGAGTGTAGAACATCACTTACATTCACATTGGATGGATCTGTAAACTGCAAGCCGAAATATTCTCGATCTTCGAGATCTAAATCTAAGTAGACTAGGTCCAGCAACTCACTGCCATATGCTTTTTTCTGAAACACACGATTTACCAAAAATTAACAAATCATTTCATACAAGGGCTGTTCAAAAATGAATTGTAAATAAATCTGAGACAAAACTGAAAGGTTTCTCATCCTCTTTCTTAGATAACAAGATAGTATGACATAGATGTTTATTTTACCTAAAGCTATTTAATAAACTGTGTGTGAAATTATTTCGGGCAATTTTCTTTGTTCAATCACGACAAAAAAAAACACATCAAAAACATCTTTTGAAAACTTCTGGCTCAACTTTTCGAGTTAAAGATTCCAGTAATTTCCATGCCTAACACCACTAGTTTGTGGTCAGAAATAAAAAATCTGTAAATTGCTATAGGGGTAAATAACAAGAAGTAAGATATAAAACAGGCACATCTTGTAAGTTTATAGCAGATTTATTCCACCAATAATTAAACATCATTTGTCTGCTTAGTGGTTTATCACCTAAGGTTAATCTATATCAAGAGCTGGCTAAAAAGTCTCTTTTTGATTCATCAGTTTAATTGCATCAAGAAAGACTCTGTCATACCTCCCTCATCCCTCTCTTTCACAGAGATGAAATACCAAAATACCAAATGAGGGAGTGTGGTACAGGATATTGTACCCTGCATGTAGGGTCTATTATAAACTATCCTCTGCCTAGTATAGACTATATTGCAGTTTAGCAGCCCCACACCCGACGACTGGTGCCTGTGACAGCCCGAATCCTAGATCATTTCAAACCTATCATGCTGACCTTTTGTGAACCAATCAGCAAACTGGAAGGAACACATGCTAAATACACGCTCATTAAATATGTGATGACGTCAAATGAAATGATCATATTATAGAAGGTCCTCCATTTTCGAAGACGAACTCTGAGTGGCTCGGTGAGATCAGAGATTTATTGTAGACTGAAAGAGTGTGAAGATGAAGCTCTCTTTTAAGAAGTGAAGTTGAACTAATGCAAAGGGTAAAGATATTGATGTTAGAAGATTTAATCCACTTGTGGTGAGACTTGAAACAAACAGCCCACAGATCGATCTGAGACATTTCTTGCAGCTATGCACTAAACTGTTTTTAGTGCATGTACAAGATATAGACATACAGTCAAAAGCACAGTCTCCAATTCATCTTGTGTAAACTCACGAATCATTTACAAGGCAATTAACTATTTGACCGAATTTTGTTGGAACTGTGGTTTAGACTGTATTTTACCCCAATTTTCTTGGGGGTATTCACTAGACTGATCCCCCTCCCACTTAAACAATAAGAACAAGACATGATAAATAAACAATGGCAGTTAGACCATCCTCTACATCATATATCACATATACATATAAGTATTGATCTACATTAATCTTTCTAAATCTCTCCAAGTAGTCAATAAACATGAAATACCTAGATGGGCCTAGATGCAGGCTTTATCAGATTCTAAATAAATCCAACCAAGAACCAGAACCCAAAAATATCTTATGAAGCCAAGGTACAAAATATTTAAAAATATCTCATTTTTGGCTGCCTATAATTTCAAATTAGAGACTCATGGACCTCTTTTCATTCTACAAGTTCAAAATTTTTATCTTTTCTTTTTTTCAATTAATAGACTATATATTTATTTCTTTTTCATTCTATTCTACCAGGATCAAAATTCCAACCATGTTATCTTATTTGCTGGTAAGTTTACTGTTTACATCATACTGTTTCTATTCCCTGTATCAGGCTCCCCACATGCCTTGTTAATTAGTGTAGCATAAACCCCCATAGAACACTGTGATATTATGCAACATCACACCCAGTCTCAGGTTACATGATTGGTACTTACTTTCTACCCTGAATTTCCCTCAGCCAACTATACTCTCCTCTGACTAATACAGATCTTTTTTATTTAGTTTTTGTATTGATAATCTCTAGATTACCTCAAATGCAGCTTTGTTGACATATTATGGTATTTTGAATGTGAAATGAATGTTACCTAGTTAAAATACAGCAGTTTTAAATTGCTCATACCCCTGGTCCCCCTATCCTACCAGTGATAGATAAATGGAGGGGGGCAGGGTGCTAGGGCCTAAAATTTGCTTCTCCCCACATGAACTAGGCAATTTTTATAACATACTTGCCGAGCATTAAAAAAATGCTGGGACTATTTTTAAGAAATAGGGCTCAAAAAGTCCATACTTGTGCATAAAAATAAATTTCTCTTCTTGATTTTCAGGTCTGCCCTTCAGAACAATGTGTGTTCAAGTAGGATTATCCCACATAATATCCTTATTAGATACACAGGCCTATCACCTGGAGAGGATATGATATACAGGAATATACAGGAACTTGCAAGATAGAATCCAGGATGTAATTAATAAATAAACAAAACTTCCTTATGAAGTCTAAACAATTGTTTCCTGAGAGGTTCTATGATAAGAGAACAATAGCTTATTAGCCTTGGTAATATATCATAACGCCAATGTTTTCTCTTAGAAAGCAGATCAGAATTATCACATTCAAAATCCTGACCAAAGTTGGTCAAAATAAGACAATTTTTCATTATTTTTCTCATTTTCAATATCTGAGACATGTGCTTTGCAGCACCAGCTTATTTCAATGCAAGGAAAATATCTCTCATTAAAGCATACAAAAAACACAAAATAAGAATTCCAGAAAAGCTAAAGCAATGAGTTTATACTGTAACTTACATAACAGACTGAAGCAAACATAAATCATAACTTTGTATCTTCTGAAAGGGAACTAAAGTTACTACACAATGATGTAAAAAGTTAAGTCGTCCCTTCTAAAACATCACCATATTCAATTGATTTCATTCAATTCAAATCTTAATTCAATGATCTGTCAAATTTTCTTGTATGTCTTTAGAGTTTTATCACATATATAATGCCTCATAACCTTCAGTTCTTGTCTACTTAGTTCCCTGTTTTGTATTTGTTTACAAAGCAACTATGACATTGTGATGGGTTGATCAAGCAAGAATTGTAAAGTATAGGGGAGTTAACTGTAAACTGTTAACATATTTGCTGACATTAAAGCTCTCAAAACCCAGGTTCTTATGCTCTAAGAATAGTTCTTGCTTGTGGATGTTGATGGCCTTTGAAATAAAAGTTTACATTTCTAAACAATTGTGTCTAAATACAATGTAGGTACGTAGAATAGTCTCGTATGAAGACTCTACGCCCCCAAGAGAAAAATTCACTATCTATAACCTTGAGAAGGAATGGGGAAAGTATGATATATATAAGACATGTATGTGGATATAGGCCTACCATTACTGGAACAAACAAATAGTAATACACCACATTGTCCTGTATAAAGCTACTGGCTCACAAACTCATTTTAATGTATCAGCCAAGGGGGGGGGGGTAATAAGAGAGGGGAACTAGACCAGATTGGGACCAGACAAACAATTCAAAATGTTATATCCAGTCTGACAAAATAAACAAGACATACACGCATAAGGTAGACTGTACCTAGACTGAGACCAATACTAACTGTAACCAAAGAACAGATGACAGATGTACCTTGATGTCAGAGACAGGAAACATCAGCTGGTGCATCACAACATAAATCCAAAACACACATCATGATTTCCCCATTTATGTAGTACTACCTGGAGATGGGATGCAATATAATTAAAGAAAAAATAGCACCTTCAAACTTCAAAGCATGAGTGCCTGTGCCAAGCCTTAAAATGCAAAAAACAAGTGGGTTGTTATAAGAAAGCAAAAAGCAACAGAAAAGAGCAGTGTATATTTGAATGATAATTGTGTTTTCAGCTTTAACAAGGGTCACATCTGTTTCAACTTATTACATGAATCTGCATAAATTGTTTTTTCACAATGTGCCTGAGGTGTTTTTCACAGTCATGTACTTCTATAACATTATTCATGGCTGTAACATTTGCACCTGGTAAGGTTTCAGAGAATCAACTAGAACTTTTATTACTAGAAACGCCTTATTTTAAATTTTCAGTATATTCAAGAAATGGTTTGATATTGTTCATGGTTGGGTTGAAATATATCAGTATTATAGATAACACTTATATGCATTAACATAGAAAATCAACATTTTTCATACTGTGTGCATATTGCGTAGCTATAAAGTATTATTTGGTCTAGCTTTGCCACATTCAGACCATTTGTGTCTACTCATTTTGGCAGATTTTTGAGAAAATATATGTAAATCAAAATATTGTCGCATTCAGTTATCTTAAGACATCCATCTCCACCCCTCCCAAAACCATATGTAACTGATGAATAAAGCTTACTTGGTGCAAACAGACATTTTATGATGTCATATTGCGAACATGAGAAAGTTATTTTGTTAACATGTAGCTTCAAGTAAACCAGTATACCGATGACAACCTTTGTATACAATCTGGCCAACGCAGAATTTTCCCACCCAACCCAAACACCACAAAGTAAAGCAGACCTAACAGGTAACTTTATACAAACATCATGATATATCAATTCTGATACTCCTACAATCTCCTTAGTAACTCATGTTGTGTCTGTACTTTATAAAGACTTTCTCCCTATGGTGTTTGCTAAAGCTTGTAGATAGTCTCTGAGAGGAAGGAGGAGACGGGAACAGAGAATCTTTATCTTCAGTACTACCCCTATAAATGTGAATCAACCCCAAATTTATGGGGATACTTCAGTACTAGCAATGAATATGACTAAATTTAAATCACTGTGGAGCTAAGATCACCATCTCATCTATGAAAAAAACAGACAAACTTATTTCAACAATGAAAATGTTGCAAGATGTCTTAAAGCAGAGGGGGAGATGCTTGTAACAACTGAAGAAAACTGCTTGTTGCCTGCTTTATGAACACCCTGTATTACAGAAAAACCTGTATATATGAACACCTCTCTTATCCGAACACCTCTCAATGTGAACACCTTTTCTTGGCCAGGTCCCATATTTGTTATCTTCCATAAACATCTGCTCATCTGAACACTTTTGAGTCATTTTGACTGGTCCCTGATATGTATGGATTAGACAGG